CGTACATCGTAACCTCACTTTCTCCCCTCTCCGCGGCTCCCCTTTCCATTATGGAAAGCATTTAAAGCTAATAGGAACGATAAAATCACGATTGGAGTTTACCTATGCCGCGTTCTACTCTATTTGAAAATTTTTCCCTAATCCCTAACTGATAGCTAAATCTCTCGATGAGTCTATAAAGAATGTGTGTGTACGTGTGTATATATATATTTATACATAGGTATATTTATATAGATATATTTATATATAGGTATATTTATATACATACATATATATAGATATATATAATATATATATTTTCCGTAACGATCAATCGACTCCTCAAGAACAAAGGAAGCCGTCCGATCGAAAAGCCAGCATCGTTCTCGATTACAAATATGGCAATCGCAATGGAGGGAGGCCTCCATCTTGCAGTTTAGCGTCTACCAGAAGATAGATTAACCGCGTGTAACCACGGCCACGTACCACCTCTTCCTCCTCTTCCTCCACCTCTTCATCCAGTACCGGCCCTTTGCTTCGAGCCTCCCCCGCAAGTCCGCGTATACAAAAGTATAATATCTACTCTCTATCCTATGCCCTTTCTCCTCTCGCTGGAGAACCTTCCGCTAACTCGCGCCAACTCCCTCCAGCTCGTTCCGGCTCCCTACCTTGACGTCCGCGAGGCTCGCCGAGGGCGCCAGTGGAGGGGAAGTTGGCGTGCAGCGAGCTCGTGGGAGGGGTGGTGATGCCTAGTGGTGGTGGTGGTGCTTCATTACACGCTACCAACACCTCGCCTTAGCAATAATACATGCATTCGCTCAACGAGAAAGTGTGCATTCGCATGCACGCGATACGCCGCAAGAAGAGTATATGCAGAGACCGAGCAAGAAAGCGTATTAGGTATGTAGGCATTCCGTACGATCGCGAACGAAAGAGGGCGGTCCGAGGAGACAGGTGCGAGCCAATCGCAAGCCGCCACGTGCAAATTCCCTCGGTGAGCTTCTTTCTCTCCTCGCTCCCTTTTCACTTTTCTATATCTATATCTCTCTCCCTCCCTCCCTCCCTCCCCTCTCTCTCTCTTACCCTTTCCTTTTCCACCTTCGTCTTTTACCTTCGGTTCCCTCCTTTTCCCTTTCTTCCTCTTCCTTTTATTACTACTACTACTATTACTACTACTACCACTACTACTACTACTACTACTACTACTACTACTACTACTACTACTATTACTACTACTATTACTACTACTATTACTTCTACTACCACCCTTTCCTTTATCAACTCCTTCCTCTTCCAACCCCCTCCTACCCCTTCCTTCAGCCTTTCCCCTTCATCTTTACTCGCCACTGCTAACTTATTTAAACAAGACTCGACCCCGTCACTACGAATACGAATCCCTTTTGTATTCAGCACGAATGCGCCGTGACTCGTCGCGACTCGAAACTAACGAGAGCAACGACCCCCGCGGCCGATTCTTCAGTCATTGCTTTTATCGACCAGCCCTCGCGACCTTGCACTCGTAAGAACGCACCGATATGGACCACCCTACTTGTATAGTCTCGCCATGAGCGCTATGTGACTCTATCCTTTTGCTTGACCGACGAAATATTTTTCCAAGAAAAAAAAAGAAAAAAGAAAAAGAAAAGAAGAAAGGAAAAAAAAAGAAAAAAGAAAAAAAAGGGAAAAGAAAAAACGTAACACAGGTTCAAGTCAAAAAGTAGGATAAAACGAGAAGAAAGATGTCTTTCCATTCACAATAGATCCCAAACCAGATACAAGCCCCCTTTTCTTTTCTTTCTATTTCTCTTCTTTGAGAAAGTCAATAGATCGTCTATCACCGACCGTCTCAGGCAAATTCGTAGTTTCTTAGCGGTTAAATATATGTGAATCCTGAAACAGGAAACACTCCGGACAAGCTGTTGCTGCCGCCGAGACGGTCTACGTGAAATATGACTTCCGACCCATTATCGCATTGTTGCCCATTCGCGGACACCCGACGAGAGTCAGTAAGTTGTATAGGTCTGTTAAAATTTCTCCAGTGGAAGAAAGACGAAAACAGACAGAGAGAGAAAGAGAAAGAGAGAGAGAGAGATAGACAGAATAGAACCCTACTAAGTGTTTCGCTTTGAGAGAAGTCCATCTTACAAGTTTATGATTTAAATCGTAGTAAACCGTTTCCTGACGTATTTGCCGAATTCCATTGTCAAGAGATTGCATAAACGACAAAAAGACATGCTACCTGAAACAGTCTATCTTTTTTTTCGGTCATTATGAGACCTACCAAAGAAATGCACAAAAGAAAGGATGAAGTATTATAATACTTGGTCAAGTAGAATCAATATCACAATTTTAATTATTATCGTGTAAAAAAATGACGTAAAACAGGGCAAATGGCAGAAGTTATAGCTAAAGATCGAGGCTCGGAAGCCTTAGGAAGTGCCGATGTTCGCACTCGATAACACTTAATCGCGTTAATGCTATTTCGCACGGGAAACGGATAAGCCGGCGACGTCCTACCTAGTTATGATCCCCGGTTGGCTTATCGCAAGGCTACGATAGGAGGTGACTACATAACCAAGTCCGAGGAATCGCGTAAAATCGCGTGGGTGTCGGATCGTAGCTCCGAGAAAAGAAACAGAGAAGGATAGAAGGTGAGGAGAAAGGAGAAAAGAAAAAAATTATGAGGGAGGGTCGGAGGAAGGGAAAGGAAGAGGTAGAGAGAGAAAGAGAGAAAGAGAAAGTCAACAACGCACGGAATCGTGTGGGTGGTAAAGCGAGGGTGCATCGAGCGCGGCCAGATAATAATTAATAACTCGTCGGTGAGTGGCTAACGCAAGCGCCGCCCCTTTTCCCCTGATTTATGAACCGCACCGCCTCCCTGTCATAACCGAAGCAACGTCGCCGGTAGCCTGGTGTGAGCTGCTGCTGCTGCTGCTGCTACCTCCACTTGCGACGGTGGTGGTGGTGATGATGCCGGTGGTAGTGGTGGTAGTGCCGCTGCCGTTGCCGCCGTCGCTGCTGCTGCTGCTGTTGCTGCTGCTGGTGCTGCTAGCGATGGTGGTGGTGCTGGTGTTGGTGCTCGTGGTGGTGGTGGTGGTGGTGGTGGTGGTGGTGGTGGTGGTGGTGGTGGTGGTGGTGGTGGTGGTGGTGGTGGTGGTGGTGGTGGTGGTGGTGCTGCTAGTGGTGGTGGTGCTGCTAGTGGTGGTGGTGGAAACTCGCGCGGATAGTGGGACGCCACGATCGCTGGCGATCCCAAGAATAGTGGTGGGGATGAGGTTGCCGGCGTACAGTGGTATTGCGCGATCCTACCTATGCCCAGCCTGCTTCTTTACCGAGCGATCAGTCGGTTTTCGTCCTTGCTGGATGACACCGGTCGTAACAAGCTGTCGCGCGTTCGATCGTTACGAGTACGCGGAACTCGCTTCCCCCACTACGCTTTCCTTTGCTTCTCTTCTCTTCTCTTCTCTTCTCTTCTCTTTTCTTCTCTTTTCTTCTCTTCTCTTTTCTTCTCTTCTCTACTCTACTCTACTCTTCTCAATCACGGATCTTGCCGCGAGTTGGCGCTCTCTACGTGGAGAGTAACGCTATATAGGTATATAGAGGAAGAAAAAGAGAAAGAAAATCCACCTACGCGCGAAGAGACGTTAACTTTATTCTTGGGCCGACGCGAAGCGCGAGATATCGTCTCGCTCGCACGAATGCCGACCGGAGGTGAATAGTGACGGCGGTGGCGGCGGCGGCGGCGGTGGCGGCGGAAGCGGCGGCGGCGGTGGAGGAGGAGGAGGAGGAGGAGGGGGAGGTGGGAGAGGAGGAGGAAGAATTGTTGGCAGAGACGTGGAATTGTAAAAGAGGAGAGTGTTCTTCTTCGAACGTCATGCAGCTCATGCGATGGAGCATAACGCGTCGCCTGGAGTGTCGAGGCATTAGGCAATCTCAGGAGAAAAGCTGCCAACCAACGACAAGGATTTATTCCAGCCGATCCTCCGGTACGAATCACTTTCGACGAGACCGAGAGAAACGCTTTATTCCGAGGGAGTGCGTTATTCTTTTGCTTTTTCTTTTCACGTGACGATCTCGCTGGGTGTCCAATTGGAAAGTGTTTGAAAACTCGCGCACTTCTTTTACTTTCGTTGAACGAACACGTGAGTCGCGTTGAAACGTGGACGAACAATGTGCTAACCGTTTATCTCGAATTTCCCTTTTATCGTTTCTTATTCTCCTTTTCGAAAATATTAAAAACATCGTGTTGATTATAATAGTGATCGAATATATAATTATGTGTTCGACAAAACTTTTCGATCGTTAAGATTCGATTTGAACGGTACAAAACCGATCCTACATCTAACTATCGACGAGGAGAATAGCAATCGTGCGATTTCCATTTTTCATTATTTGCATGGAAGGTCGGCGATCGTTGTTGGCTTGGATATTGTTAGTACGAAATGGTGTGAGATTAATCGTGAGCTTCACCCTTCTCGCGAAGAATACTAATGAGCACGCTTTTACATTTTTTTATCATTGACACAAATGGCAAACGGCCCTCGGCCACACGACCGTTCGTAAAAGTTTCTCCGTTTTGCGATCGCTTCTCTCTCTAAAGAGCGAATAACGATACCAATCGATCGTTCCTTTCGAACGTCGAAACGAACGTCGAAACGAACGTCGAAATGAACCACGAGCCACGTTCTCTCCGTTTCGAACCTACACTCGACGTGTTCGCGATAAAAGACGACGATTCTCCGACGTGCTCGAGAAAATATTTATCTACTTCATTTGACATGCTATCATGGTTGCAATGTATGTCCTGAATATAATATGAAACCACAACTTATCGTTTTTTTTCTGTCCTTGATGGTCGTTCGCTCGTGAAGTGAAATTTTAAAAAAATTGCGGCCTTTGACTATTCTTCTTGTGTATACTTCAGCGAAAGATTTATCAAAAATGATATTTGTCGAGAAGAATAATCGAGGAAAAGAAATGATCGCGTTAATTAAAGGAATCCCACCGTCTTTCTGTTGCAGGAGAGGAAAATGATTTCATATCGGACGGCGAGGAGAGTGGCGGCGGTGGAGGAGGAGACGAAGCGGTTGATCTTACAGCGGCTCGAACTCATCACGGAGATGAGGATGAAAAGGATCAAGAGGATCCTTTGGAGGAAGATGAGGAAGGCGTCGACGAGCAAGACGAACAGGACGAGGACGAAGAAGGCTCGCGAAAGCAAATGCACCATCGGCAGGACGCGGAAAACAATAACAACTTCGTTGAGGGTGGAGCGAGTAGCGGGATCTTTCCACCGGCTGGTACTAGTCACGTCACACTCGAAGCCCTTCAAAATACGAAAGTGGCCGTCGCTCAATTTGCGGCCACTGCACTCGCCGGTGGTGCGGACAGTGAGGCAGCTCTACAGGACTTGGCCCTTTTGCAAAGTACGCTATACACGCTTCAACATCAGCAGGTTTTTCAATTGCAGCTGATAAGTCAGCTGCAACAACAATTATCTATTACTCATGGCCAATCTGTGCCACAATCGTCGACGGCTGAGCCACCCAATAGCAAGGAAGCTTCGCCGTCTCCTGTCCTGCATCCGAAGGCATTGTCTACATTGACCTCGCCACCTTCCTGTCGATCACCTAGCAGTAGTCATCGTCAACAAAGCTCGCCGGCGCCGGCAACGCCTAATCTACCCCAAGAACGGCCTACGCCTAGCAGCAGTGCTTCTCCTCTGAATCTGCCGCTGCCAGCTACGCCGAACGTCTCCTCGAGCATACCAACGACGAGTAACAATAGCAATCTAGCGTTGTCTCATCAGATGCCGCCGCTATGCTCGATAAGCTCGTCCTTGGCGTCCTCGATAATAACCAATACGGATCCACCGCCGCTTCACGAACCCAACACCTTGGAAATGCTACAGAAACGAGCGCAAGAGGTGCTGGACAATGCCAGTCAAGGACTATTGGCTAATAACCTCGCGGACGAGCTCGCCTTCAGGGGTGGCAAAGGTTCTCGGCTCTCGCCTTACGACTCGAAATCAGGTGGCAGCCGGGGAGAACATTTCTTCAAGCACCGATGTCGTTACTGCGGCAAGGTTTTCGGCAGCGACTCGGCCCTACAGATCCACATACGATCCCATACAGGTGAGCGACCCTTTAAATGCAACGTCTGCGGCAGCCGATTCACCACGAAGGGAAACCTGAAGGTCCACTTCCAGAGACACACGGCTAAATTTCCGCACGTTAAAATGAACCCAAATCCCGTCCCCGAGCATCTCGACAAGTATCATCCGCCTCTCCTTCAGCAGATAGCCTCGGGTCAGAGGCCAATGCCGTCTCCGCCACCTCCGCCCCCTTCGCATCATCCCTCGTTTCATCCAGCGGCTACGGCCCACGGATTTCTTCCTCCTCAACCACCTCTGCCACTCAGTCTCGCCTTACCCGGAATGCCACCCCTTTACCGGTCTCCCATTATTAATCATCGCGACGACCAAGAGTTACCGGAAAACTTGAGTAAACCCGTAACCACGGTACCGACGGCCACCTCGCCCCTCTCCCCAGCTGCTCTCTCCAACTCCCACCATTCCTCTTTCCACGATAATCATCAACAACAGCAGCAAAAGCAACAGCTCGAGCAAGAGGAAATCAAAATGGAACAGCGTTCGCCTCTTCAGGAACAATATCAGCAACGACCGACTAGTAGGGACGGTACTGATAGAATAACGCCGAAGAAAGAACCTGAGGATACCGAGGAACCAGTGGAAGAGGAGACCGAAGATTTTGAAGAAACAAGGCGATATCTCGCTTCGCCGCCTTCTTCGGCTAACCCCCCCTCGCAACCTCAAACCTATGAGGACTGTAGTATGGATAGTAAGATAAGTGGCAGATTGGAGGCCGATGGTGATATGGAGGTGGACGAGGAGACCGAGGAACAACCGGAAAATCTTTCTAGTCGAGGTACGGCCGGTCGTTTGCCTCAACAAATCGTCGCCTATCCCGGAGCATCGCCGGCTAGTAGCAGTGCAAGCAGCGGAAGCGTTCAAACGTCTTTCGCCGGGATTTTATTCCCTGGGCCACCTGGTCATCATCAAATACCACATCACACTGTCGCGAACGCGAGCGTGACGCCAACCGTGTCGGCGGCCGAGATGATCGTCGACCCTGCCAAGGATCCGGCGATATATTCCAGTCTCCTTCCAAGACCCGGAAGCAACGACAATTCTTGGGAGAGTCTGATCGAAATAACGAAAACGTCGGAAACATCGAAATTACAACAATTGGTCGATAATATCGAACACAAATTGACCGATCCAAATCAATGCGTTATTTGTCACAGAGTACTCTCTTGCAAGAGCGCCCTGCAAATGCATTATAGAACGCATACAGGAGAACGTCCGTTCAAGTGTAAAATCTGCGGGCGAGCTTTTACCACGAAGGGCAACCTCAAAACCCACATGGGTGTACACCGTGCGAAGCCACAGCTTCGAGTGTTTCATCAATGTCCCGTTTGTCATAAGAAGTTCACGAACGCTCTCGTGCTACAGCAGCACATACGTCTGCACACGGGTGAGCCTACCGATCTCAGTTTGGAACAGATACAGGCAGACGAAGTGAACGAATTTCCCCCTGGCTATTCGCATCATCCATTAGCCTCTTTCCTACCTCAAGGATTTCCACCGATACATCCGACGAGCGCGGGTTTCTCCCTAGGATTTCCACCCTCCCGACAGCCTACCATAGAACGACAACACCAGAAAAACGACGTAGACGTTAAGGAAGAACCCCAACAGCAACAGCATCAACAACAACAGCAACAGCAACATCAATTACATCATCATCATCAACAGCAACAGCAGCAACAACAGCAGCAGAGATACATGGAAGAACACAACGAGGAAGTGGAAGAGCAAGAAGACGAAGAGGAAGATCGCAGGGAGGATGACGAAAGGTGCGAGGTCAATCGCGATAGGTGTATCCCGGACACCGAGGAGGAACAGGATCACGAGAACGAGGAAAGCGAACAAAAAGAAATCTCTCTATCTACCTTCTCGACCTCTTTGGCTGCTTTGGAGAATCAAGTGCGAACGATCACGACTACGGCGACCGGCACGGCCTCGATCGTCGCGAGATCACCTTCCTATCATCGTTACAACGGCAGCGACAAGAGCAATAGTCCTCCCACCGGTGGGGCACCCCTCGATCTCACCCCTCGAGCCTCATCGACGCCAGCCTCGGTATCATCCGCAGCGACGCCGCCACCCCAGACGACACCCCATCACGCGCATCCTTTCGGAATGTTCGCAGGCCTCTTGCAGACGGTCTCCTCCTCGCCTTCCACCAGCACCATGGGATCCTCCTCCAGCATAAACAGTGTCACTTCGATGAATACCGTCGCTCCTGGCAGCGGTGCCAGCGGTCCACTAGCCTCCCTCACTACATCGGCAGTCCTTGCTGCCACATCGACCTACAATCCGCTCGGCCTAGCTGTCGGAGGGCCAGCAGGTAGGCGCTGCTAGCATCAGGACGAGCTGCAGTTCCTGCTACACCTTCCTTCTCTCATCCGATTATCGATTTTTCTCATCTTTCTTTCTTACGACAGTTGCTCTTCCCCATTGCCAAAAATCCTTTGCTTTTTATCTTTTTCTATTTTTTTCTTTCTCTCACTTTCTCTCTCTCTCTCTCTCTCTCTCTCTCTCTCTCTCTTTCTCTGTCTATCTATCTATCTATTTATCTATTTATCTTTCAATTTTGATCTTTGTCTCTCTTTCGAAATTCCTTTTTATCTCTTTCTCTCGTTGCTTGACCAATACCAATCACTCCCTCCTAATTCATCATCAATGCCCGTTGTGGTGTAGCCGGACCTAGCACTCATACCGTCCGTTATAACTCACTATAACTTCGTCGAGGTGTTTAGCTCCATTTTCGATCATACTTTTGCAACTTCCAGTTCTCTGTGTTTCTGACGTATCATCCCAACACGCCCTTGATATTTTCGAGAAAAGCCGCGAAACTACGACGATCTCGCGTTCTTGAATGGAGACAGATCGGATTTGCATCATTGTACTTGAATTCAACGGTTTTTTTAGGTTTTAGTTCTCGCAATGGATATTATCGATATTTGGAAATTTCTTGCTGAGTTAACGCCTAATATTTCATATGTATTTCATTAAATAAACAATATGTTACAATATACAGTCGTATTCACAATATTCTCCCTACTCCTTCTGAATGTTCCAAGTATAAAACGATTATTCAAATATCATAATCATCATTGCAACGTTCTATTGTAAATTGAATTCTTATAATAGCAATTCGATTAAATTCACAGCACGATTCCTTTCGATAGCGAGTCACTCGCGCTGCATTTTACAAAGCATTCGATAACAATATTTCCACGTACAAACGTGTATAAATTACGATACGTAAGATAAGAAAGACGCGTAGTTTGCTTTAACGAAAGAGTCAAGAAATATAAAGAAATATCTAAATGTATATATAAAAAAGAGGAAAAGGAAAAAAAAATACAAAAATGATATACAAAAAAAATAAAATAACGAAAGAAAAAAAAAAAATAAAAAACAAATAAAAAGCCAAAAGAATAACTAAACCGATGTCGATGTTAAACAGTAAAATTTGTTCCAGTACGTGGAAACACTACGTGTAATATCTGCTACAAGACATTTGCGTGCAACTCTGCTCTGGAGATTCATTATCGAAGTCACACGAAGGAGCGGCCTTTTAAATGCAGCATATGCGACCGAGGATTTTCGACGAAGGTAATTCTTTTCCGTCTAAAAACGAGGAGCTTCGCTCCCTTATCCGACGTTTTTTAGAAACGAATCGATAGAGTACAATCGCGATAATAAAAATATAAAAAGCTCAGAATCGAATTGAACGCTTTAGCTCTGGAACGTTTGGAAATTGGATCAGGCCATTATTGTACAATAATTTCAGAATGCTGGATCGGACGTATGCTCCTCGTGCGCGGAGCAACGAAAGCCCTTTGCCATAAAGGGCGCCCCACAAACGAATAACCGATATCAGAGCGAGGAGAGAAGAACGTCGACTAGCGGAAACGAGGAGAAACCCAAACGCAGGCGGCGGAGGCCTGAGGAACGGAAGAACCGGGGGCGGACCGGGACCGGAGGGGGGCGGGGGCTGACGTCTATCTATTCAACCGTCCGCCTGCCCCCGCTGATGCCACCCGCCCTCGGACTTCTCACCTCGGACCACGTCTTCCTGGTAAGGGACTCCAGCATCATGCAGGCTTCATCCAATGTCGACTTTAACGCTCCATAGTGAGTTCACTTAGTCGATTGAGCTGGGTTCAAACGAGGAAAATAAAGCAAAAAAACAAAAAAAAAGCCAAAAAAAATGTATTCTACAATAAGAAAAATTTTGTGGTCATTTTCTTTTTCTACTCCAGCTCATTCAACCGGGTGAACGCACCCATTAAATTAAGCTATAAAAGTATAACTATCGTTGGGAACTATTCCCATAGAATAACCAATGAAAAATTTTAATATATCGATAATAATAAAAAAAAGAAAAAGAAATATTCTAATTTTCTTAAACTTAAGAGATTTAAAGAAAATTTCGATTCTAATTCGCAGGGCAATATGAAACAGCACATGCTGACACACAAAATACGCGATATGCCACCCCATCTCTTCACCGATGCGAAACAACAACACCAACAACAAAGCCAGGATCACGAGAGTTCTAGGAGTCCTATGTGCAGCGACGATTTGAGTTTACCACCTCCACCTCCACCTCCACCACCACCACCGCCGGTACCACCGGCGTCAATCGAGTCGGCAGTACCAATGAAGAGATCTCCACCCGAGGGTGATCTTCCGGCACCAAAAAGACCACCCAGTAAGTGGTTTTTCTGTTTAAATTCAAGGGAAATTAATTCGCTTCTTCATCGAGCGCATTCTTAACTCTCTAAGCTTTACGCTGTAGTCTCAATAACATCGCTAATTCACTACCGCAACTAGCTTTCTTTTTTGCACGCCTCGCATCCTCTCATCTTTTGCTTTCTTTCGTATATACGAAAACTCTAAATGTCTGAAATCAAATTCTAATTGTATTTCCTAAATACTCTTCGAGGTTTATTCGAAACGCGTTGCTTCGTCAATTGTTGAATTTTCTTCAATAAAACTACGAAAGTTGAACTCGTAGAAAATGAAAAAAGAAAGAGAAAAAAAAAGAAAGAGAAAAGAAAAGAGAAAAGAGAAACAAGAAAAAAAGAGAAAATAACGTCGAGTATCACGAAGCAATAATCGAACGGCCACCTGAGCGAAACTGTGTGTATATGTTTGCAGGCGTGCCGAGTAAACACTTGTGCCAGATTTGCAATAAGAATTTCTCATCATCTTCGGCGCTCCAGATCCATATGAGAACTCATACTGGCGACAAACCATTCCGATGCACCGTCTGCCAGAAGGCCTTCACCACCAAGGGTAATTTAAAGGTATAGATATGAAACAATAAAATGTCTCACTCTATATATATATATCTCTCTCTCTTTCTCTCTAATTCCTTTCATACCTTTCTATCTGTCTCATAATATCCTCAGCTCCAAAAACTTTTCATTAAACCGGCTAGCCGCTATTGCTTTTCTACTAACGCAAATACATAACATACGAATTCGCAAGCTCGATGATAGACTAGCGCTAAAAATAATAAAAAATATAAATACAAATTGGAGGTCAAACTGATATTGAACTCTCTCTTTCTCTTGTTATTTCAATGCAGGTACATATGGGAACCCATATGTGGACCAACGGAGCCTCGCGGCGAGGACGACGCATGTCGTTGGATCTGCCACCTCTGCCCATCACTCCCAAGGACTCGGAGTTCCTCCAGCGACGGCCGGATCTCTTCTATCCTTATCTACCCGCGCCATTCCTTAACGGAGTACAGCAAAAGGTGAGTGGCAACGTGAAAACGCTAACTTTTAGAAAAAATGACAAATTTTATTGTTATCGATTTTTTCATCTTTCCTCCACCACCCTCCCCCTTCTCCTCTCTTTCTCCCCAATTTACTTTTATCTTCATTGTCATATTATGTCAGTATCATTGAAAGTATCGTCAAATTAATGGACAAATCATCGATACTGTTAACGATCAATTATTTCTTTCACTTCGATTTATAGGTAATTGCGCCCGATTAAAGCTAACCGAAAGGCGTAAACGTTAACTTTACAGCTGAACGAGATATCGGTGATCCAAAGTAACAACGGTTTGCCGGCACACTCGGTAGGCGCGGCAAAGTACGCAGGACTATTTGGTTCCGTGTACAGTGGAAACGGAGGAGGCTTCCCTGGGGACAAACAACCGATGGCGCCAACCAGCAACGGGCCCTTGGTCGACGGCAAACCAGCGATACCAACAGGCTCGATGCTTTTCCAAACGCCATCGCCGTCTCATTCGCCGGGTACACCTTCCTCTAACAGCGGAAATCAAAATTCGGCTAGTGTTCCGTCGTGGACGACGAGCACCGGCGACCCTCTTCAACATCATTTCGACAGAGAGCCACCAAGTAGAACAGAGAACGCAGCTACACCACCTACGGCGAGATTACCGCCACCTTCGGCCCCAAGAGGTGAAGGGCTCGCCGCGTGAACCTCGACATATCCTTGGATTTTCTTGTAAAATCCGTAACTCGCTATTTATGTACAGTATAGAAATAATAATAAACAAAACAAAAAAGAGAAAAGAAAAAAAAAAGAGAGAAAAGCAGGAGGAGAAGAGATCGGACCTTCGCTAAGTCCCGACCGGACTCACGGACTGGCTCATCCACGAAAAATGGAGTTTACGATTTATCCTCCGTCCCCGAGTGACATAAAAGGAAGTGACCATAACGATACGAGAGAAGGAACACGACCAACGTCGAACGTTTTCCCGTGACTAACGAGCTCTAAAATGAGCCTGTGCATTTTTTTTATTATTATGATTATTATTAATCTCGGGACTCAAACGGACTACAGCGCCGCTCCCGCCGTCGTCATTTCTTCGAGTGAGCCGAATATCAGAAGAACGGTTTGTCCGGTATCACTGTTCCCTTTATTTCTGTCTTCATTTCATCAGTGTTCCAAAACTCAAAGAACATCAAATGTTCTTTCGTGTTATTTTCCTACCTAATAGATATCAATAATTAATGTATAAATGAATGATAACGAGATCTACGTTTTTTTCTCTTTCTCTCTCTCTCTCTCTCTCTCTCTCTCTCTCTCTCTTTTTCTCTCTCTTTCTCTCTCTCTCTTTCTCTCTCTCTTTCTCTCCTTTAATATATCCATAACTCTATATTATACAGTGGTGCTACGGATAAACGAATGACGACATCATGTTCCTATTATAACACTAGTCTTAACGCGTAGAAATGATCGATAGGTAAATCGATTCGATATTTGACTGCTTCCAGATAGCTTAGGGAGCAAAAATCATACGAAGTCACTGACTCCGGGAAATATTTCGAAACCGGACCGTTTCGCGTTACTCCTTGCTCTTTTTAATTAATGCCTATCCACACACATATACACACATACACAAACACACAGATATACAGGCAAACGGTCAAACACTTACACAAATGAATACATCACATTTGTATGCTCGAAATACGCGCGATCGGGTCCTCTAAGAATTCGTTGATAACGTCGAACCTTTTTAGGGTGAGGGATTCAAAGAAGAACGCGATGCCTAGACTGAGCTCGTTTACTTTGGCCGATTAATGAAATCAGTAATTACGGACAAAGTGTGAGCCAAAAGACACGTGGTGTCACGTCGACTTAAAATTCCCTGAACTCTGACCGTCCATTCGCGACAGTGATGGTCACCTCACTTAGAATTATCTAAAGCTATTCTATAAATATATACATAAAATGTATACATATAAATCTATATATATATATATATATATATATATATATATATATATATATATATATAAGAATAAAAAATCATTGTATTCGAGCGAAGGGGCGTGAATGTGTGAGTTGTATACACTTGGAGAGCACGTGTCAAACTTTCCCTTTTTAAATAAAAGGGAAAAAAGAAAGGGAAACTTGAGAGCAAGATGAAAGAATGCGTGTGCGTGAGTAAGTATGTAAGAATGAGTGAGAAAATAATGGCTCATGCGAAAAAAATATACACACATATATATATATATATATGTATATATATATATATATATATATATATATACACATACACACACACACACACATATATATATAAATAAATATATATAAATATATATATATATATATATATATATATATGTTTATATATGCATATATATATGTAGGTGTAATTTAGAGGCGGGCCCGGCAGCGCCCCTCGCTGTGATATGAGAGGAGCAGCCTGCAATCACTAAACCATTGTACTTATATCTTGTATCATAGTATTATAAAAGAATAATAATAAACTAATTATTATATCGTCATTTACTCGTGCGCACGAAAGAAAATATAAAAAGAGGAGGAAGAGATGAGAGCTTTGGCTCTCATTCTAACGCCGTACATAAAGTCTCGTCGTGTCTCTCATTCTAATTAATTAACGCGCTACCGCTATCGATAGAACGCCCAATCTTCCGCTGCAATAGAAATCTCATTCGCCGTGCAAAACAACGTCTACTTTCGCGTCAAACATTCGCATATACATATTAACATAAATCAATACATACATACGCGTGTACGTATACGTACAAAGAAATTCATATGTATGTATACGTACAATACATACATGCATACATGCATACATACATACATACATACATACATACATACATACATACATACATATACGTACATACATACATACATACGAAAAAAAGCAAACATGTACACGAGAATCGGTGTTTCTCCGGCTATTTCAACTAACGATTTTCGTGTTAAACAGTATTTTATATATAGATGGATATATGTGTAAAAATATATACCGTTTTAATATCGTCCGAGTCTTCCACGGGTCTAAAAAAAATTAACTTTTAACGTTCTTTTATATAACTAATGTCTTTATCATAAATGACGAAAACGTATGGACGAATTATACTTATTGTATATTATTATATAAATTCATTAATTTATTCTTCAAACGTGTTACATACATATAATGTATATTCGTTGCAAAGAGAATTTATAATTCGCAGGAAGTCGAGTATGTAATAAATTATTGTTTCTCATTCGGTATATGTGTATATATATTATATATATTATATATATACACACGGTCTTATTACTATTTAAAATCAAAATCAAATAAATAATTATCGATAATATATATCGTCGCGTTTTTATAAAACTAATATTTATTTCGGATATTTATCGCGCAAATTTTAAAGCAAAAACTCTGAAACGAATACGAGAAAGAGATGCAAGCGTGTGTCATTCAACTTTAATCCCAATATAATATAAATGATATTACGAATAATGTCAAAAATATCGAACATAATTATATAGTAAGAAATATACACTATAGAATATGTTCTCTAAGCGTAATTATGATTTCATCTTCGTTTTACACTGTCGTTAAGTACAAGCACGTACTTCATGAAATAAAAACGAATGCGTTCGCTTTTTATACATTTATCATGAGATACTTTTATTTATAATTAAAATTTATAAAATATCGGAATTTCTGCTTAAGTAATTGCGAAAACCGAATAATACAATGAGTGATATTAAAAATTCGTGAACTTATAAAATCACTATCTTTAAATAATTATTTGAATAACTAAATTATTTTGCGGGAAAAGAATAAATATCGATATTGAAGATATAAATAATAATTATTAACAGGAATTCTGATATAGAAATGATTTTATCGAATTAATGGACAAATGTTTTTTCAATCCAAAAAATTTTGCGACTAAATATCTTACTAAGTGTATTCTTTAACACGTTGAACGTTATAATTATATCATAGATACAATCGTCTAAAATATTTATTTACAAAAATATTCGCAAGGTTAATTAAAGGAAGAGTAAAATCTAGTCAAAAAAAAAATATATATATATATATATATATATATATATATATATATATATATATATGATACTAAATTGAAAAAAAAAAAAGAAAAGAATGAAAGATACTAGATGAAAATGTCGATTGATAGAGAATTCAACGTGTTAAAGTGAAAAAATGATTATTGAAATATATTAACGACGATATTTTGCTTTTTGAAAAAATTCAAATATCCAGAACTGACATGGAAATTGTTCCTTACAAAATTTCCGTTCGTCTATTTATAGTCTCGTCGGTGAAAATTTTCTAATGCATTTATAATTTTTTGTTATAGTTTTCTAACGGCAAAATTTCATTAACACGAAAATCGTTAAAACGTAATGCATCAGCGTTACATATAAATGTAAATAATCGTTAAGAAGCAAAAACTTAGAGGAGAAAATCGAATACTTTGAAAAGAGCAAGAGTCGGATCGTAGCTCTTTTACGAAAATCAACTGGGATTATAATTATAATTAAGTATAGCGTAATCGGGTATAAAGAAAAAATAAAATAAAATAAAATAAAATAAAATAAAATAAAATAAAGTAACACTCTTTGGATTACGCATTAGAGCGTAAGGTCCAAATTTTTCATAATATAAGTAATTTCGATGTGTACCTAAAAATACATGTCGTGATATGTGTCGCATAAGTCGTTCTCAGGTGTGAATAATGAACAAGTTCTCCGATGTGGACGGATAGAGAAGGCCGCCGTGAGAAATCATCGTCCTGCCGTGAGCCTCGTAAAATTGTCCAAAAATTATTGCTTACGACTTCGGGTTTCTGTAAATATTGTATAATCCATGTATAAACATTTCTCTAGCTATAAAACGTATCACTGTAGTCAGACACGTTACGAATCATTATAACTATATCACTTCAATAATAAACCATTATTATGAGACGAAGAAGGTAGATAATGTGTTTTATAAACTATTCCTATTGATTCACTTGGACATTAAAAAATTTTAATGTCTAGGTGAATCTTTTGAAAATCTAAATAAGGTGAGTAATTTTAAGATTACATGAAACTTTATTGCGATAAGAACGAACTCTTTTTCCCACAATTATCATTTTGTACATTTACTAATACGATCAATATAATCTCTAAATTCTTACTGGTAATGTCGGAAAATTGGATATCTACTGATGTTCTACAGTAAATATTCGGTAAATCGGTAATCTATTGTCGATAAGGAAAGAATCTACTTAATCAACTAATATTTTAAATCATTTATACAATTTGTTTATTTTTAATTAACGGTAACAAGATGCTTCAAATCTTAAATTAAAAATCGTATATATTAAATAAATCCTTTTTTTAGTTAATGAACGATAATTGAAACAAATCTAAACTATCATATTGTGTTTATGTCTCGTGATATCTCATTGACATTATCGGCAATATGCACTAACAAAATTATAGTGAGAATTTTTCTGAAGAATATTATAAAAAATGATTAGTTATGAAAACGAAAAGGAAAATTTTTTAATCTTTAGAAAAACGCTAAATAATCGTTAATCATAGTAAAGAAATTAATACAATTATTAAATATTTTCATTTTTATCTAATTTAATCAAGTTAAAAGCCTTTAGTTCGGTGGAATTTATGTAAATTTATTTAAAAAAAAAATATATATATATATATATAACAACGTTAATATTCTGTATATAAGCAATACAGAATTCCCAGGTCTGACCACATGGAAGTTGCTGTTTATGGTGACCCTCTTCTTTCGAATAAAAAGCTTTGTTTCCCTATATGTCCACAAATTTGACAAATATAAATCTGTTTATCGAGTAAACAATTGTAATTGAATTGAATTGTGATTACGTTGAACGTTAATAGGCTTTCGCGCTAATATTCGTTGAAAAAAAGAAAATAAATGAAAATTTGTAAAAACTTCCCAAACGACATAATATTTGCAATGATCAATTAACAGGTTTATATATTTGATAAAAAATCTAATGAGAGAGAGAGAGACAGAGAGAGACAGACAGACAGAGAGAGAGAGAGAGAGAGAGAGGGGGGGGGGGGGGGGGAGAGATTGAGAGAGAAAGATGAAAATGAGAGGTGATTTAAAGCTCGCGGTGCTTAAAAAAAGAAAGAAATAGAGAGAAAGAGAGAGAGAGGGAGAGGGAGAGAGGGAGAGGGAGAGAGAGAGATCGTGATAAAAGCTCAACTCGCGAGGGTGCGCCCGCGCGCACGCATGTTGGTATCGACCAGAGGTACTCTTCTCTCCTCTCCTCGACAGATCTCACGAAAGAACGACTGACAGAGTCCCACAGGCATTTAATTGCTGTTTGCCGGCACGCGGCAACGCCTCGTCCTGGCGCTCCACGGCGCGACGTGGTGGAACGTCTTCCAAAAGGAATCGGCTTTTCGGACCCAGGCCGATTCCCATGAGAGACTTGACGTAAATAAGTGTACTGGAGGACAACGAAGGAAATAAGAGAGGTATGTTAGAATGAAGAAAAAGAAGGAAGAAGAGATGTCACTCAGGAAATACATAAATCCTGGAGGACATCGATGGATACCTTGATCGTTCTACGATTTATAAAAAAGAAGAATCCCACGAACGAAAATATGGACAATGAATCATGGATTTAAATTGAATATTTCTTTATTATACGTGTCAAGTGTGGATGAGAAAGAATGAGATTTCATTCGTGAACGAGAAAGAACGAGATTTCATTCATTTACGAACGAATTAAAATTAAAGGAAGAAAGCTAAAAAGAAAAAGAAGAGTTATTCGTAGATGTGCGTCAAGTTAATTCGCATAATGAAATATACTAATTTGACATATTGCGATGATCGTCGTACAATAAAAAGATGGAAGTACAGCAAGATAATAAATAAATTTGTTTGAGGCGAACACTTTTAACATATCTATTTACATATCGGTCCTTAATGGAAACATGTGAAGCCAAGTTTCGTTAATAATTCTAATCCAAAGTCACATATCTTCTATTAAGATATTAAACACAAGGCAAGTGCATCGAATTGCATTAGAAGTCGTCATTTTCATACGTGACATCTTACAATTGCCGCATCGCGATATATGTTATCTATCCAAACAACCTTTTTCTTCTATCCGCTGCCATTTAAGAAAAAATTAATTAGATAATGATTTTATCGATTGTTAATATATTAAAATGAAACAAATAGAAGAACAATTTATAGGATTTAGAACGTTGATATAGAGAGATGATTTAATTCAATGACTTACGTTACTTTTTCTAACATATTAAATGCACAGGTATGTATATGCGTATGCAAATAGATTTTCAAGTTAAAAAAAAAGAAATAATAATAAATAAAAAAATAATAAGTTGATATTTTTTTTACAGAACATTACGTCAACAGTACAAAACAACAGGCATTAATGATTCATTATCAATTTTAAAGGACTATATATAATTTGAATGATAATGTATGATCATTATCAATTTTAAAGGACTTTCACTTTTTCCTAGCAAATAAAGAAAAAGTAGAAAATATGCGAGATCTGAGACAGAGCTAGAAAACAATTGTTAACTATGCGAAAACCAATATTTTGATTCATATTTCACAATGAACTGTTCGCTACACATCAAGTTACCGAGTTAATATCGACAAAACGGGAGCGAGCTTCAGTGAGTTTGAAAAGATAAAGGGATCTAAGAAACCTGTAATCTCATGAAACATATGATTTCCATTCAAATCAATAACATTCTCCTTGCTTTTTGGAACGCAAAAGTATGTATATGTAGTATCCATACGTAAGTGCATATGTAAAAATACGTATTAAACTGAATCAAAAGTAATAATTTAACAATATCTCTTCTTGATATTTTGTTACAGATCACGAATACTAGAATAACAGAAAGCAGTAGACATTGATGATTAAATATTATCTCTTCAATTTGAAAGGATTTAAAACAGTAAGGAAACACTCTTCCGTTTATTCCTGCATTATAATTATTCTCAAACGAATATGATTAAATTTATCGATTTTTCACAAAAATTTATTATTTTTTCCGGTATTAATCAAATTCAATATTTGATATTTATTTTCTTATGCGTTTTCTCATTTTATCATTTTTCATCAATATTATACTTCAATCTTTTTATCATACATCAAGATTGTTTTATTAGCCAATATCTAACATTTGATAACAGCCTATCGACGTTACGATAATGCTACATCGAAAGCAATGTATATCTTCAATACTGTATTACATTCTAAATGTTCAAAATTGGCCGGCAAATACGTCCGATCTGGTATGCGTAATAATCTTTTTCCAAACGTGGTAAGCAAAAGTGATATATGTACATAAATTAGATCGTTAAAGAAGATAATATTATATAAATCGTAAAGGTCATACGATTTTTCATTAGGCAGTACATCATGGTGGGAAAATCGTGCAAAATAATGTACGTAAAACCGCCAGTTCTGTATTCGAATCTAGAAAAAAAAAAAGTGTCTTTCGATTACGAAGATGGCTAATCGGCATATTGATTTTCCTACTAATGTCATTAGTAATTATTAACAGTTTCGCTACTGGACAGTTTCGTATAATTAATTTCGGTAATATCGAAAAGGAAAATTTAGAAGGTTAGTCAAATTGTTAAAAGCAGTATTGTTAAAATATAATTATTTATAATTAATTATATTATTAATAATAATAATAAATCGAATAAACTTATAATCAATCATAAACATTCATTTTAGATAATAATTATGAACAGACTATTACGTCAAGCGTTGATTCTGGTTATCTAGTAAGCACTAGTGGTTGCAAAATACCAGCTGTAGAACCGTTCGATCGAGCGATTATGCGTTTCATACAAAAGGAAAAGCCTATCGTATGTAAAGCTGGAACAATACCACCGCTGATAGAATCTAATAACTCTCTGGTATATGTAAATCCGCTCTCGCAAATGCTTTACTATAACAAATCAACGGATATTATTAATTGCTGTTGGAATGCGTTTGAACGCAAAAAAAACAACGATAATGCTAATATGTTAGTATGATCGAAGATAATAAGGTAAAAAGTATCGTCTGTTTTATCTACTCAACCGTTCAACGAATTTAATTCTATTTACAGATACAACGACGAGTGTTACTTCTTCAGTAAAGACAACCAAGTGACGGCGGAATTTGTAAAAGTCGAATGTTGGCGAGGAAACGATAAAATATACAAAGATTATCACGCCTTTGTACCTCGAAAACCGGATGTAGAGGAAAGATGCAAAAAGGTGAAGAAAACAAATCCCGTTGAAAATCAACTGAGCATCCTGGTGATAGGTATTGACTCGGTTTCAAGATTAAACTTTCGTCGAAGTATGCCAAAAACTGTGAAAATTCTGGAAGATTTAAAAGCAGCAGAGATGTTGGGTTATACTAAAGTAGCCGATAATACGTATCCAAATTTGGTAACTGTATTGTCCGGTCTAAATACAGCAGAGTTGAAAAAACTCTGTTGGCAGCACGAGAAGAAGACTTTCGACGAATGCCCGTTTATCTGGAAAACCATGAGCTCTGCTGGCTATCGAACGATATTCGGCGAGGATGCTTGTCACATGAGCATCTTCAATTATTTAAAGCCAGGATTTAAGATACAACCAACGGACTATTATCTGCGACCTTTCTGTATCGAAAGCGAAAACAATATCGGTAATACCAACAAATTGAACGCAAATCTTTGTGTTGGAACAAGATTAACATTTGAGAATCTTCTCAATTACATCGAAAAAGTAGCAACAACGTTTGCGAATGACCTTTATTTTGCATTTACCTGGATGGCCAGTTTAACCCACGATTATTTGAATTTTGCGCAATTGGGCGATGAGGGCTATTCCAGGTTACTTGATGTCCTCTCGAAAAAATATCTACTCAACAATACGGCCCTAATAGTGATGAGTGATCATGGTATGAGATTCGGACAGTTTCGTCAAACCTTTCAAGGCAAGATGGAGGACAGTCTTCCGTTCGCATTTTTAGCTTTACCACAATGGTGGAGAAACAAATATCCGGTGGCATGGGCTAACATGCGAAGGAATACGCGTAGTCTCACAACTCCATTTGATCTTCATGAAACGTTTAAAGATCTAGCAGATCCAAGAGAAGTTGAAGAGGAATCTTTGAGAGTACGAGCCGATCTAATTTCCAGTGGGAAGATACCTCGTGGTATAAGTTTTTTTTTACCTATACCCAATTATAGAACGTGCAATATGGCCGGCATACCCAACAATCTGTGCATGTGTCACAAATCGAAAGATATATCGCTCAACGACATGGGAGTACAAAATAGCGTGAAATATCTGATGGATGTGTTAAATAATATGATGGCACCATATATGCTTTGCGCCAAATTATATTTAAGGACGATTAAACAAGCTAAGGTGCCGATTAATTCGAATGAATCATCTTGGATCGATTATTCGATACAATTTCAAACCTATCCAGGAGAGGCCATTTTCGAAGGTATGGTGCGTTATAGAAAGGACGAAAAATCTTACTATCTCCTCGGAACAATAGGCAGGCTTAACGCTTACGGTAACCAAAGTGCATGTATGAATGACTTTAACATGCGCCTTTACTGTTATTGCCTTTAGGCGTATTACATATCTGATAAACTTTAGATCGATGATATTTTGTAGTATTTTAAATAAATATTCTTAAGTCACTAAATCGTACGATTCTTTTCGTTCGCCGATACGTACGTCCAATATGTCTACTTAAACATATTGATGTTATTTTCATGACGATAAATATAACATTAAATGCCTAACGTGACGATTTTTTCCAATGAAAATAATAAATACGACAATCTACATATGAACGGTGACGATTATTAGCAGTCACCAGCTCCGATTGTAAACATTATTAATTAGAATTTTAGTGTAGGACTAAATTCACTATAAGATTTGAAATTACACAGAACCTGTATTTCACGTGGAACAAATATCAACTCAATGACGTGATACTGTCAATGTTTCACAATAAAATTCATAATAAGTCACATTATACTTACTTTATATAACATTTTATAAGATGAAACTTGACCGTAGAATACTTAAATTCCAAAAAGTAGCTTGATTATGATGTTGATGCCGTGCCTCACGATACGTTCGTACGCGTTTAAATAAAAGTAAAGTCGCGCTATGATTTTTTTTCTTAGCGCCATCTGTTTATCAATTTCGAGCATTCTAATTGGTCGAACATAATTTGTTTATTGAAAACGCCATAAATTCATGATTTGTATAAATCATTTCATTTCGATAAAGGAACATTTATTGATTGATATTATATCAGCATACATGTATATAATTCATATTTTTATAAACAAAACATTCGTATAAGAAAATTTATCAAATATTAGAAATAGTAATACCAACAGATTAGAAATGAGTTCATTTAACTTCTTCAACGAGTGTTACATACCAACGTTCTTTGATTTCATCGGTGGACCAATCACGAGCACCCACGATTTACGGGGTGTTTGTTGTAACGTCTGCTGCGATGGCAGCGATTAAATATATTTCGGTGTTTTTTATAAATTTGGCGATATGTATAATAATTACATTAGCAGGGTAAATATAAATATATATTATTATTTTATTATCTTATTATTTCAAACTGTAAATCATTCTTTTGTACATAACCTTTATTTTGTTGAATAACAATTTGTAGCCACAATCATAAGAAAAATTTCTTAATATATAAATATTATATTAAATATTTTTTTATAACAATTTTTTTTTTATTATTCCTTACAGGAGGGATTTTTACAATATCCTCGGTGTTCCACGTAGCGCGAGCACAAATGCAATAAAGAAAGCTTATAGGAAATTAGCTAAGGAATTGCATCCAGATAAAAATAAAGATGATCCAGATGCTTCCCAAAAATTTCAAGATTTGGGAGCTGCTTATGAAGTGCTCTCAGATCCTGAAACAAGAAAAATGTATGATCGATGTGGAGAAGAATGTGTGAAGAAAGATGGCTCGATGGATAATTCTAATCCTTTTGCAAGCTTCTTCGGAGACTTTAGTTTTCATTTTTCTGGAGATTCTAATCATCAACAGGAAACACCTAGAGGTTCTAACGTTGTAGTTGATTTATCTGTCACACTCGAAGAATTATACAGTGGCAATTTTATTGAGATAACAAGAAATAAAGTGGTTGCAAAAGCTGCCAAAGGAACAAGGAAATGTAATTGTAGACAAGAATTTGTGACAATTAATTTAGGAAATGGTAGATTCCAAATGATGCAGCAACAATTTTGTTCAGAATGTCCAAATGTTGAATTTGTAAATGAAGAACGAATCCTAGAAGTAGAAGTTGAACCTGGAATGGTAGATGGACAAGAAACTAAATTCACTGCTGAAGGAGAGCCACATCTTGATGGTGAACCAGGAGACCTAATACTGAAGTGAGCTTTTAAAATAATAATTATAACTGATAATTATATATTTTCTGTCTTATTTGAGATAACATTAAAAAAAAAAAAATTTTTTTTACAGAATTAAAACGGATCCTCATCCAGTTTTTGAAAGAATTGGAGATGATTTATACACAAATGTAACTATTTCAATGCAAGATGCTTTAATAGGTTTCACTATGGATATAATACATTTGGATGGACGTAAAGTGACTATTCAAAGGGATAAAATCACTAGACCAGGTGCAAGGATCAGGAAAAAAGGAGAAGGCATGCCTAACTATGAAAATAATAATCTTCATGGTACTCTGTATATCACATTCGATATTGCATTCCCTGACAAAGACTTTTCAAATGAACAAAAAGAAGGTAATCTATTTAAAGACCAATTATTAATCATAAATCATGTTTAAAGGAATTTAAAAATTTTAGAGAGTATAATATATTAATTGTTTGTTTCTAGAAATTAAAAAACTTCTACAACAGAGTCCTGTGAATAGAGTATATAATGGAATAAAAAGAAATAGATACCCAAATATAATGTAAATACAAAATAACATTGCATAGCGTGCTACATACATAATTGAAACTGTAATGCCATTGAATGTTTATATATTTGTATAATAGAGTGGAATACTTGACTATCGAAAATACCAACAGGATTGGTGACTAATTCTTACTTTGGATAAAATGAAATGTGCATAGTCCAATCAATTTAATTATTACATGCACATGTACTTCCTCTTTAATTATAGAAGACTGTTTCTGTATGATTTCTAGTGTCAGTGATTTGAAATAATGAAAGTAATGATTATTAACGGTTATTTAAATAAGTTATTTTGTGTTTAAAAGACAAGAGGGGTGAATGAATGTCATAAATAAATGAAATGAATTATTATTTAAACAATGAAATCATAAAAGTCAATAATTCATTTTTTAATAAAAAGTTAACAGTGGCTCCATATATAGTAAAATACTTATTAATTTATTACTTCTTTATGACAATGTAGCTATTTATTTAAATATATTCATAATTATATTAATAAAAAAAGAATAATTATATATTAAAAATAATTATGATAGAAATTTTTAGTTATACAGATGGCGTATTAGTAAAGTCATGACATATATACATATCAACTTTTGGCTATCTTTAAAATGACCGCCACTGTAATTAAATTCTTTATTAAATTTATTCTCCTTTTATCTTTTTAATTATTTCTCTACATATTTGTATATTATATACATATATATATTATACATATATATATATACATATATATATATATATTATGTATACATATATATATATATATATACACATATATTATATATGTCATGTTCTTATATCGCGATATGGTAAGATAAAAGATTTCATTTTCGATATAATTAATTCAATATAAATTATGGAATACACTAACCCGTTACTATAGAAATACATTGGTCAATTATATTTCGTTAAAAGAAAGATAAAATATAATTTTCCTACGCGCTTCTTTTTTTGTATCAATTCGACAATAGAACAAACTTCATTCTTATGATTGATTGTTAGATTCTTTGAATATAATGTAATTTATTTTGAACTTCTCTTAGAAATAGTATTATGTTTAATGTACATATGATATTTTTAATTACAATATAACTAAAAAGAAAAAAAAAAGAATGAAACGATGTGTAATATTAAAGTTTTATGTAATAATTTATGGAACATAAAATAATTTCATAATAATTAACTTCCGTAGATATTCCATGTTGTGTAAAATAAAATATAATACCCATATTGTATGCTTATAAATATATATCCTTTGTATTTGAAAATCCATTTTTCGAGAACGTATATATATATATGTCGTTAGGAGAGAAATGATGATACATATAAAGCAATATAAGATAAAATAAAATCTAATGAGTAAAATTATTGACTTAAATAATATTGATTAGGTGAAGTATACTTATCATTTTTAATTAATTTTAATAAAATATCAAACATAAAAATATATATTTTGTTAAGTTATATAAATGTAATGATAATATTTTTTTATATGTTCCCACAGTACTGTAATATATTATTATAACATATGCTTAAGTTGCTTTAAAATGATCATCTGTACGTGTAGTATATATGTGTCCTTCGGATGTAAGGAAATGAATTATTTGATCAACATCATGTAAAATCCTTTCTGGTACACGAGCTTTAATATCGTTTCTTTCAATTCCACATTCAGTCTCATTTTCAGCTTGTATTATTTTAAATACTATAGCTTGTTCTGTACTCATACCAGTGCAATCATTATTAAACATTGAATTATCATCCACATTAACAGAAACAGTGTGCGTATTGTTTGCTTTAAATATTTGTTCTGCTTTCAATGTTGCATAAGTGACTTCTAACAAATGATTAGTTAACTCGTTAAGATCTTCAAGAGGTAATATACGTACTATGAAGACTTGTTTTACTCCATTTTGATCACGTAGAAGACCATATATTCGAACATAAGTGTTTATTTCTAATGTTGGTTCTGGCGTACTTCTATTTACTTCTAACCATCGAAGAGTTGTAATTGTACCTGCAATGTTTATAATATATTAACAATTTCTATAATAGTATATATATTATGTTTTATTATATAGCATCATTTAACTTTTATACTTACCGGTTTCATCTTCAATTTCATATGTGATTTTTGTTGTAGATTCATTAACTTTGCGTAATATGCCAATAAATGTAAGCATACGAACTGGTATCTCCCAAATTTGAAAATCGCCAGAAGAACGTATTATTTGACCAATCATTACAGGAACAATATTTTGTGCTCTTCTCAAGTTTTTTTCTCCAGAAACCGATGAAGTATCGTTTAAAAATCCTCCACTATTAGCATCCATACTTATATCCATGTTCATGATGATTATAAATGTTATTATGCACTATTTCAGGAAAATTTCTATTAACCTAACCAATTTTTATATATAGTTATTACATTTGCAGTATAAAATAGACTTATTTATTCTGCATTACCGCCAAATATTCTCATATGCGAATAGAGTGAAATTGTAACTTTTAATATCGATTAAACTCGATGACAGCACCATTGTGGCTGTTTTACGAACTATCTCATCTTGTATACGTCATTATATAGTATACATAGTATATATATATATATATTCGTACTCTCTAGAGTTTAACTAGAAACGTAATGGTACAGTTTGTGGTAACAATATAACCTAAAAATTATGAAAATTGCGTTTAATGATTATAAAAGTGTTATACTCCTTTCACTATGGATAAAATATTAACAAAATCATTACACTCTAGTCGTTGTTTAGCCTATAGATCATTACCTACATGTCAATCAAATTTAAAGTAAGCAAAACAAAATATTTTAGTAAAAATGTAGAAAAATATGACAAAAGTAAATAATTCTATCCAAATATAAAATTATTAATTTAACATGTTTTATGTGTATGCTTTATATTTTGCAGAATTTTAAATAAAAATATTGTGCACTTACATACAGGTTTACAATCTTTTAAATCGAAGCAATATGTTCTTTGCAATAAAAGCAAATATAATATCTGTCAGTTTCAAAAGCGTAATATGTTCATTCAAACCCAGGATACTCCCAATCCAAACAGTTTAAAATTTCTTCCTGGTGTCAAAGTATTAGAAGGAGGTGGCACCAAAGACTTCCCAAATGCTACGGATGCTTATTGTTCGCCTCTTGCTAAAATGTTATTTCGAATCGAAGGAGTTAAATCTGTATTTTTTGGTCCAGACTTTATTACAATAACAAAGTTAGATGAAGATATGGAATGGGGTGTTTTAAAACCAGAAATATTTGCAACAATCATGGATTTTTTTGCAAGTGGATTACCAATACTAAATGAGTCACAACCTTCGCCAGATACACGTATAAAGATATATTTTTTAAAACTTATAAGGAATTCTTTTTACGATAAAGACAACTATTGTCTAATAAACTTTTTTAATTTTTTAGAAATCAATGAAGATGACGATGAAATAGTACAGATGATAAAAGAACTTCTGGATACACGAATACGTCCTACGGTCCAAGAAGATGGAGGTGACATTGTATTTATGGTACAGATAATTTTTAATATTTGAATGATACAATTTTTTAATACATTCTTGCAAATTTTTTAATTAACAAAATTTACTTTGTTATAGGGTTTTGAAGAAGGTATTGTAAAACTGAAAATGCAAGGTTCTTGTACAAGTTGTCCTAGTTCTGTTGTAACATTAAGAAATGGAGTTCAAAATATGATGCAGTTTTACATACCAGAAGTATTGGGTGTTATACAAGTTGAAGATGAAACTGATAAAATTGCCAAAAAGGAATTCGAGAAACTCGAAAGTAAAATCCAAACTTTGTCAAGTAGCAGTGATAACAAATAATTGTGACATTTCACATTTTATATAGTCAAAAGATACATGTAATATTGTGCATAATTAAAAGCATATCGCAAATAAATTATAGCAAAAGTACTATGTATATTATTAATAAAAAAATAAATAATATTTAAAAAAAATATTGATGTTTACTTTTTTTTATTTTTCTACTTTTTTTACAAAGTATTAGCGGCTAGATACAGAAACTTGCCACACGCGAATAGTGTTATCAGAGTATCCAGCAAATAATGTTTGTCCGTCCGTGGACCAAGCGAGAGACAAACATTGAGGTGGTTCTGCTTTACTGGTTGCAGATACAACTTCTGGTTTCAATTCTTCAACCATTTCTTTAGTCTCAAGATCCCAAATCTTAATCCATGGTCCAAATGCAGCACACAGCCAGTAGCGATTAGGACTAAAGCAAAGTGCAGTAATGATATCATTATGATCAAGAGTATGGAGATGTTTACCATCATTCAAATCCCATAACATAGCTTTGCAATCCTAAAAAAAAAAATATAAATTACGTTAATAAGGATTCATTGTATTAACAAAATGAATACTTTATTCCAGATTATTTCAATACATACTTTTCCACCAGATGCACATAACGAACCATCCGGAGACACGGTGACTGTATTAAGGTATCCAGAATGTCCATTGTGATTAATCTTAAGTTTGCAGTTTGTCAAGTTCCATACCTATAAAAGATTTATAGTTTAATAAAACAAGAATATTTCTAATTTTTAATATATATGTGGAAATAAATAAAAATTCAGTCCCATATCCGCTAACACTCATAGACATCATGGTGTTATAAAGTTTTCATCATTTTTATTACATTTTAAATAATATCACATTTTTTAATTATTTTGTATTAACATACCTTAACAATACAATCCCAACCTGCAGAAACAATAATAGGATTGGAATGATTTGGAGAAAAGCGTACACAGCTGACCCAATCGGTATGTCCCTCATCTTGTATGGTATACTTGCATTCTGCCAATGTATTCCACAACTTGATAGTTTTGTCACGAGAACCAGATACAATTTGTCGATTGTCTACAGAGAAGGCGACACTCAGGACGTCCTAATAACAGAAATAGAATCTTTTGCTCTAATAATTATATTTTAACTTCGTTACCCTATGAACGGCATTATAAACTGGCCAATACTTACAATATTGTAGGTTTAATGAATGCCCACCTCTTCTATTTATATACACAAAAAAAAAATATATAAAAAAAAGCTTCAGTTTATTTCCAATTTGAGGTACCGCCAGTTTACCGCTCACAAATTAGTAAAGTCACACCTTGGTATGGTCTTCAAATCTCCGTGTTGTCCGACCTGCAGCCAAGTCCCACAGACGTAGAGTTTTGTCCCACGATCCAGACAGTGCATAGTTTCCATCAGAAGATAATACAACATCGCTGATGAAGTGGGAATGACCATAGAGACGTTTTTGAGGAATACCATAGTTAGCGTCGTCGCGCGTCAATTTCCATACGATTAAAGTTTTATCTGTAAATGTAATTTAAAAGATAATATAATGTATTCTTTCTAAGATGTAAAGTCACGTTGCGCGTATGTGTGTTATATGTAAAGTGCCGAGCGGCCATTATTCGTTTTAACATAGATATATACCGCCAAATAGCTAGACAATACATGGTAAATTAAATGACTTTCAGACATTTTATATAAAAAAAATTGTATTCTATTAGAAATAAAATAAGTAATTGCACTTTTAAAATGTATTATTCTACGAACGAGGATCAATATACGTTATTTCAATGTAAAATATATGAGAAAGAAACAAATCTAACAGATGATTACTTACCACGTGAGGACGATAAAATCATATCCGGATATTTTGGATTTGTAGCGATTTGAGTAACGGAGCCATTGTGCCCCCGAAGAGTTCCCCTCAATTGTAAAGTTTCAGTCATCTTGAAAGCGGCTCAATTTTCTTAAACCAAGGATGTATTTGGATTACTTCGACCATCCGCTCTTAAAGAAGCGTCGAATGCAAAAGGATAGTCGGAAACAGGCAATACACATTCAAGCATTGTACATGAATACATAGAGATAACATTCGTATTCGTTACGATATTCAAAGATAGATGGCACTATAAATTACAGCAATTAGTTTATTAACATTTAAAAAACTTATTTTGAAAATAGAAAATATTAAACAAAATAAAATAATCATCAAATTATTCTTTTTATTTAAATCGTTAAATGAAAAAAAAGAAATATGTATATATATTTCGTAATGGCGCGAATTTTAAACATATTAATACATGGTAATAAAATTTTGTAAATAATGCAATTAAAATGCAACAGCATTAAATATAAACGTCATATTTAATCTCGAATATTACATAATAGAAAATATCAAAATGTTTATAAGGGCTAACGTTTCAAACAATTTTTTAGTTGTAATATTGTGCTTTACGTTTATTGCGTCACACTTCCGTTATGAAGCATCAACCTTACTTACCTTACTGGTTGTTTATATTCCAGGATAGTAAAGTGATGAAGTACGATTGGTGTATCAGTCGCATGGGTGGATCTCATAAGAGTTTTAAAGGTATTTGTGTTGAAAGGGAATAAAGAAAGTAATAAAAATAGGGTCATTGAAAGCAGTACAACAGAATTTAAAAATAACATTCACTCATGAGCGTTTGACAACTTAAGATGAGGTGGTTCGTATTGATATGGGCCTTTTTAAATGTCTGGGCAATAAATGCTTTCAATTTGGAAGCACGAATACCTGTTATTAAAAGAGGATTAAATGGTTCCTACTTCGGTTATTCGGTAGCTGAACATCAAGAACTTCCTGAGGATGGGACTGAAAAAGCTAAAAGTTGGTTAGTCATTTTCAAGAATGTTACAAACATTTAAGTCAAGATTGTTTTATGTCTCTTCCTCATCTTACTTCAAACTTAAGCACACTCAGATAAGAAATGAGATAAGATGTAATTGTAAACATGATATTATCAATTATTTTTGTCTAATCTAATAAAATTTATGTGTTCTCTGTAATACATTATTAATAACAATTAATGTTAATTTTTTAAAAATTATATAAATAAATACTTTTTTCATATATTGAAATTAGTAGAGATACAGCTATATATTTAATACACAGCTGAAAATAATTTATTAACAATTTATTATAATTTATATATTATAGGATGTTAATTGGCGCTCCATTAGATCAAAATAAACAACCTGAAACAAATAGATCAGGTGCATTATGGCAGTGTCCATTAACCACATATACAAGGGATTGCATTCAAGTTATCACAGATGGACGATCAAGTATGTTTAACTTCTGTTATATTTCTTTTATAATTGACTAGCAATAATTCATTTAATGTTCATTTATCATTGGTGATGGAAATTTCAAAGAATCTATTGTATATTATGTTTATAGTAGCAAGAATACTCATGTCCTACTTAAACATAATAGCTAGTATGTGGTCTAACTATTTATTAATTATAAAGCATGTTATTTGTAAATCTGTGGTACTATGTATATTGTAAAGTATTATTTTTATTTTATGTCAGCTGTATAATAAGATTATTTTTTGTTAAATCATGTTTTGGTTAACCAGCAGCAGAAGGTGGTCTGTATGATTCAAGTAAGTGAAACAAAACAGATGTGACAGAATGGTTGAATGAGAAAGTCTCAAAATTTGTATATATTTTTCAATATTTTAATAAATACTTTTTTTAAATGCTTTTATAGGAATACTCGCATGAAACTAACAGTAATGTTCATGTTTATTGTGATTAATATGTCTATCTTCCTTTCTCTTTATATATTAAATATATGCATGTTAAATGTTATATCAATATTATAACAATATCATAACATATGTTATAACTTTATAAATAATTAATTGTTACAATGACCTATTATATCATTATTAACAATTATTGCAACCTGTGGCATGTGAAATAATAAACATATTTTGTATAATTTATAGTGCAGTATACTTTAATCATTATGATTATTCTATCTCAAGAAATAAATACTCTCTTTAACTATAACAGCTCAAGTAAACATTGTAATATTTTCTTTAAATAGTTTTGATTTCAATATAAATCATTTATCATCATTTAATCATTTTTTCTCTATTTTAAAAAAATCATTGTGTATATATAACATTAAATATTTTGCTTTATAGATATTGTGAAGTACTAACATATGATTAATTTTAATGATAATTCCATAATAATTTCCTATTGTCTTTAATGGGTTAAAAATATTCTTATTTAGGCTTCACATATACTATGTAAATTTGAATTTAAAAAATGATATATGATTTTTTATGCAGGTATACTGCATAGTTGAAAGAAGAAATATGTTTTATGGTTTGATTTTTGATTCATAAAAATTAACAGTATATGCAGAATTTTTGAAATTAAACTGTGATTATGTTACTATCCTAAAGTTTCTATTTCTAGGTTTCGATTCTGATGATTTAGTTCCTCCTGGTAAGGATGAAATAAAAGATAACCAATGGTTAGGAGTCACAGTTCGTAGTCAGGGTGTAGGTGGCAAAGTAATGGTGTGTGTTATAGCACTTTATATTATACATCACTATACATCATCCTGTAATGTAACTAACAACACGTTTTTACTAATACATTCCATTAAAGGTATGTGCTCATCGACACATAGTTAAAACTGCGGACTCTCGATGGGGACAGGGTCAGTGCTATATATTGACTCAGGATTTAAAGTATCAAGATTTAAAAAAACCTTGCTCAGGAAAACCCACTAATAAGTAAGATATATGGTAACAGTAAATCGTATTGTTTTATATGTTGTTGTTTTATTTTCTTCCTATAGAGCACATGAACAATTTGGATATTGTCAAGCTGGTACAAGTGGAGTATTAACATCTGAGGATCGTGTGGTCATTGGTACACCTGGACCACATACATGGAAGGGAACATTGTATCTTTTTACTGTATCTGATGAATTTTTAAATAGGGACAATACTGTTTACAATGTTCCAATGCAAGATTCCTCACCTGTTAACAAATATAGTTACTTAGGTTGGTACAAATGTATGATTTTTATTATTTATCAGTCTTTGAATTATTTCTTTTACATTATAAATCAATTTTCTAGGTATGTCAGTAGCTGTGGGTAACTTCTTTGGAAATGGTTTATCATATGCAGCTGGAGCTCCGCGTTCAAAAGGAACAGGACAAGTTGTCATTCTCACAAGAAAAGATATTAAACCTGATATGGATGTTGCTTTAATCTTAAGCGGTGAACAATTTGCTTCAAGTTTTGGGTATGAAATTACTTCTGCAGATGTCAATGGAGACAAGTAAGAATATGTATTATTATAATATACTAAATATTATTTGTATTATTATCAAAATGATTATATTTAATCGTTTATTTAAGAATTACAGATTTAATTGTAGCAGCACCATTTTATTTTAATAAAGCAGAAGGTGGAGCTGTTTATATTTATACAATGCTATGTAAAAATATTAAAGATAATGACAAATGTAAGCCCGTTAAATTAGTCGGACGCGAAGAATCAAGGTTTGTGACTAATTATGTAATTATTTCCTATATAATAAAAAAAAAAAATGATGTATGTGATATTTAATTATAGATTTGGATTTGCGTTAACTAATTTGGGAGACTTGAACAAAGATGGATATGAAGATATTGCTATTGGTGCTCCTTATGAAGGGAAAGGAACTGTCTACATATATCTTGGATCTAAAAATGGAATTATCACGACGCCATCACAAGTATTTAAAGCGATTAAAAGCAGTTGAATATAGAACTTGATACTCTAAAAAAAAATTTTTTTTATAGATCATTCATTCAGAAGATACTCCAGTACCATTACGTACCTTCGGATATTCATTAAGTGGGGGAATTGATATGGATCAAAATGGTTACCCTGATTTATTGGTTGGTGCTTATGAAGACGATGCTGCTGTACTTCTTCGCTCAAAAAAGATCATTGATATTACTACATATATTAGCTATCTTAAAAAAGATGGAACATATCAAGACAAGATAGATCCTATAGATCCTAATAAATTAGGATGCACAGCACGTCCTGATGCAAATCATACATGGTGTGTATTGTATATATGTATATGAGTATAAATTATGATTAAGAAAATGAACTTATATATTTCAGCTTTTCGTTTGAAGCATGTTGTAAAACAGAATCTTTGGTTAAAGAAGAAGACATGCAAAATTTACGATTAAATTATTATATAGAAGCTGAAACTTATTCCGGTGTAAAAAAGTTTTCTAGAGTTTGGTTTGGTATTGGTAACACACGTCCTCATTATGTTAATCGTACAGTTACTCTAGATACAACAAAATTGATACATTGTCAAACGGAAATCGTATACTTAAAGGTAGGATATTTAACTAAATAAAAATATGCTTATAAAATATTTAAAAGATAACCTGATATAAAAATAATTTTTGAAGGAAAACACACGTGACATACAGTCACCCATTAAATTTCGTTTAAATTATTCGTTGATACAAGAAGAACCAATGATGCGTAACGAAGGAGATCCCTTGCCTGATATAAAAAATTATCCTATTCTTAATCAACAAGAAGCAGCTCGCATATTTGAAGCAACATTTCAAAAAGATTGCGGAGAGAATGATATTTGTGAAAGTGACTTACAAGTATATGCTCATTTAAATTTATCAGGTTTGTATTTTATCTTTAAGATCGTCGTTATTTATTTTATATTTTGGTCATCTTTGTTCGTAAAAAAAAATTATTATATGTTTTAATTATTTGCAGTGTCATCTGTTAAACCTAATTTTTACGAATTACTTCTTGGTGAAAGAGAAGAAGTAGTGGTTGAAGTTAATGTAACTAACGTTGGTGAATCTGCCTATGAAGCACAACTTTTTATAACTCATTCACAGAATTTAAATTATATTGCAAGTAAAAGCAATGATTCTGTAATCTGCAATTTATACAATGCAACATTAGTAGCATGTTCAATTGGCAATCCATTTAAGAAAGACAAAATGGTAAACATACAGGTGAGATTTGACCCTAAAGGTTTAGAGGATAATGAATCATTATTAGATTTTGTGATTTTTGCTAATTCAACATCTAAAGAAGTGACTGAGAAGAAACCTACTCTTTTACAAGCTACAGTGCTAAAAAGAGCTGAATTATCAATAAAGGGGTATGTATGCTTTTTTTAACCTGCTTATTTATTATATATTTATGATTTACTTTATATTAATATTTATTTATTCATTTTACAGAAGTGCAAAAACTCAATGGGCATTTTATGGTGGACCAGTTATTGGTGAATCAGCTATAAAACACTTAAGTGAAATAGGACCTAAAGTTTCACATACTTATGAAGTATTTAATGAAGGACCATGGAAAGTAAGTAGTGTAGAAGTACGAATTTCGTGGCCATATGAAGTTGCAAATGACAAATCTCATGGTAAATGGCTATTGTACTTAGAAGAATTACCAACTGTACAAGGTGATTATATTCTTTTAATTATATATCCTTGCTTTCTCTCTCTCTCTCTCTCTCTCTCTATATATATATATATATATATATATATATATATATATATATAAATTATTTTTAAATTGTTTTAATTTCAATCTACAATAAATAAAAAATTTGTGTAGCCCTAGGTGAAGGAGAATGTACACTTCCACCGGGTCATTCAGTTAATCCATTAAAATTACAAGATTCCGTTAATTTTGAAGACTTGGATACAATTTTTCCAACACCATCTACATCAACACCTATTTTATATAATCATACTAATCATATAAGAATAAAACGAGATACAGAAAAAGTTGTTAATACACGAACAATTATTGATAAAGATGGCCATAAACATTATATAGTTTCTATGGTAGGTATTAATTAAAACATTAATTTATTGTATATAAATATATTATTTTAAACTATATTTATTTTACAGAATTGTAAAGCAGGAACTGCAAAATGTTTTGATATAACGTGTATCATATATAATTTGCAACGGAAGCAAGAAGCAATTATAACTGTCAAAGCAAGGTAAAATCCAGATAGTATAATGTATACCGCACGTTTTTATGGGGAAAAACATATAATCTTTAATAATAATCACGTTTAAATTTTTTTAGACTTTGGAATTCAACATTAGTAGAAGATTATCCAAAAGTAGATATGGTAAAGATAGGTTCGAATGCAAGAATAATTATACCCCCTAATGTCGTGATACAACAAGAAAATTTAAAAGACGATCATGCAATTGTAAGAATACGTACTGTTTTTGAATCATTCATTAATTTTATTTTTATTTGAAGATATTTTATATTTATATTTATTTTCTAGGCTGAAACAATTGCATATCCAGATCCTCTGGATCAACAGGATGTAGAACCTGTTCCTATTTGGATAATCATAGTAGCAGTAGTTGCAGGTCTACTACTATTCATTTTACTTACACTAGTACTTCGAAAGTTAGGATTCTTTAAACGAAGACGACCGGATCCTACTTTATCTGGTAATCTCGAAAAGCACAGAGAAGAAAATCCAGAAAATGAAGCTTTATTTAAACACTAAAAAAAAAAAAAGAAAAAAGAATACTTACGATGTGGCTTTGATGAATTGTCACAATACTTATGTTCAGTACTTATGGAGATAAAGAATCAATAGCTGACAGCAGCTTTGAAATGACATTAAGGCTGTTTATAAATTTTTTACATACACTATGTGTATAACAGAAGCAGCAAAGAGTACATATATACAATTTAAAAAAAAAATTGTGATAATGACCTCTTTTTAAAAGTTTACTTTTTTCCATAATAGTGTTAACACTATTCTTAAAAGATATACTTTTATATATAGTATATGTATTTACATATTTATATTGACATAGTATTTTTATTTTGATAGATCATATTACGATAGCTGCTGTTAATTTATCACTTAATTTATCTCAGTCGAAGGAAATTTAAATTACTTATTTTTTATCATCAGGAATATGTTTACAATCATGCTTTAATAATAAAGCAGAAATTATACATCATCATTTTAAATCATTGTTTGAATTATAATATTAGGTCTACAATGAAGACTGCTACAAAATAATGCTAATAGCAACATTTATTTACTTAAATAATATTAAGTGTGCATACGTGTATGCATGGAGTAATAATGTGTGTAAGGACATATTTACAGTATGTAAAGTCGCTTTTCTTTGCCATGTTATCAGAAGTATATAGTATATTATTATAATAATAGATATTATTATAATAATAGATATTATTATAATAATAGATTATTATAAAAAAGTTACATATTGCCTTATTTAAAAGAAATTGATAGTTTAGATAAAATGACATATAAATAAAAATTTTTTAATTAATTCCGTATTGCTTCGTATAATGATATTGCCCTATAAATTAATATAAATTTATAATCGGTAGTATCATTATATGTTATTATCGTTATTGAAAATACTTTTATAAAAAAGTGCTATATATTTTCGTAAGGTAAATTTATATTATACAAAAGGAAATTTGATATCAATTTATATGAATTATTTCTTCCAATGTGTTCATATAATTATTTTATGACTTTTTAAATTTTATGTATTAATAATATTCAAAAAAAAAAGAAAATAGATGAGAATGAGAAAATAGATGAGAAGGGAAGATGTAACTTCTATTAGAAACTTTTTTGTTTTGAAGTTCATCTTTACACTGTGCAAATTATTGAAACAAATAAGTGATAAACGTGCTTTTAAATTTTTCCAGTTTTTTTTTTTTTAATATTTACAAATAAAACAAATAGTACTTTAAGATTTACATAGTCATTATAATTTTAAATATATATACTGTTTTTAATTGATTAAGTAGATTCATAAGGTCAATTTTGAAACTTTTATAATATTGATACTTATTTTCATGTAAGTTAAAACGCAATGAATGCTCGCACATATAAATCATGAACTTATAAATTAAGTATTTATACTTTTATTAAAAAATTAATGGTGTGTAGATAGATTAAAATTTATCTTATATAATTTATCAATATTTTTTAATCATCATTTTGATACAAAAATAATTATGAATTCCAGTTACATATGTAATACACATGTTGTAACACATTCCTTGAATAACTTAGAGAATCCTCAACAATGAGAGCATACTAGGAAAGAGAATAATGAAATGATGAAAGCATCACTTATAGTATGATACATTAATCCTTTTGATTCAAAAAAGATGATCTGAGGAAGCGTGATATATAAACGCATTGTATATTGAAAATGTAAAAAGGATTAATGTTATATAAATTGTAGAAGCTCATTATGTGTCAAGACTTGGAGATACTGCCTATATAAGTTAAATTGCCATTTAAAATACTAATATACATGCTTATAAACAAATGCTAATTCTGGTACTTATTTATTAAAAATATAATGAATATTTAAAGACAAGAAATAACTTTATTGATATTTTATATTGCATTGTATAGAAAATGTAACTGTTATATATTTATACAGAAAAAAATTAACATTAAACGATTTCATTTCACTAAAAAAAAAGCACCACTGATATTTTGACTAAATCAATGGATATGATGCATATTTAATATTGTTTTGTTGTCATATGTCTTTAAATATAAACAGTCTAAAGTTATGAACCTGCAAAAAGAATTAATAAATTAGAAGTTCTATATTATTTTTTACTTCAATTATTTGTATATAATATTTTTATACCTATATAACAAAATAGTAAGTGGAGCTGTAAATCCATGCCATAAAGAATGAGCATCAAAAGTCCAAAATATTGGTGAAAAATCAAGCACTTCTAATAAAGTAACAAGAACTGCTAAGATATTAAACCAACCAATGAGATATGCGTGAGGTACTTCATGTCTGACATGATACCACCATGACATTGTTATTACAAAAGTTAAAAAACCTATAGTTGTAAAATATTACAATTATAGATGTAAATACATTATTTAGTTATATGATTACATAAGTTGATGTTACCTATTACTATATTAAATTTCATGTTGTATCCATAGTTAATTGCTCCAGACCATAAATGTGTTAGATGCGCATATAAAATACTAATATAACAACAAGTAAGTATAATAAAAGTTTTGGTATGTTTGTATGTCATTCTATAATCAATAAAAAATTTCAATTATGCACTCTATTTATAACTACAGAATTAAAATATTTTAATAATATATATATATATATATATAAATTATAAATTTTATATATATATTTATATATAAATTTTACCTTAATGACATACAATATAATAATGTCAGTACAATAGCAAATGCACATGAATAATCCATTACTTCTGTAAAGTCTGTGTCACGTGCATGGAATATTGTAGACCAAAACCATCCATTTAAACAAATCTAAAGCATCATGATCAACTACATTACATTAATTATATAAACTTTTTTTATAATATTTCTATATTATTATAATGTCCAAATACTTACAAAACTAAAATATGACCAAACATAGAACATGGGATATTTTGAATTTATTTTTCTTTTAAATTTCCAATATAGTACCCAATGAGCATAGAAATTAAATATTGAAAATAAAACAGAAGCTGGTTCTTGGCATCCAAAAATACGTATAAATGGCCACTATAGTAAAATATACATATAGTTTTATTATATAATTTTTAGTTTTATAAATAGAAATTACATGATTCATATTTTTTATTAATAACTTTTATGACTCACTTTTCCATAAAACTGTGGCACTGTCAAACCATGATTTACAAAATATTCAACTGTATGCCACATGCAAATATATTTACAATCTTCAATGCAAGACCATGATAATAACGAAAGGAATAGAGATGGTGGATTAATAAAAGTAGTATCTGTACGGAAAGGAAGCATTGAAAGATATAAATCAGTATTTTATAATATTGGGATATTAATAATATGTTATGTTTAGAAAATGTTCTATTGAAGTTTTTAATGGAAGTTCAATTTTCTATCGAATTAAAGCCTAATCAAAAAAAACAAATAATACAAATGTTAGAACAGGTGCTTCATTAAGTATCTTCATAATTAATTTTAATTATAAATCAAATGAATTATAACAATAAAATAAGTACCATATTATATTTTAAATACGTACCATCTTTACAATGATTAATACGATATTTCATAAGACACTGATTGTAAATCTGCGATCTGTCTCCTGTCGATGCAATTACATTTGTAACATAATATGTTTGAAGGATCAAACAAATTATCCATGCCGGTTTTAACATAATGTCACGAATTAATACATCATAATAAATATAATATATCTATATATATATATATATAAATATATTACTTATTATTGGAGAAATAAAATATACTACACGTTTATAATATACAAGTATGTAGAGAAATAATTAAAAAGAGATAAGGAGAAAAATTTGATAAAAAATTTAATTAGATTAATTGATAGATATAATAAACTGGCGGGTTATTCACCGCCACTATACTCGAAACGTATGTGACTTCAGCGACAGGTCACGGACAAAATATGAACTACAAATGCTAATGGTTGGGAATACTGTGTCCGTCATGCGTCTATCGTATCATTGTATAAATAAGATTATGTAGGTTATATCCCTTTAGCGCATAAGATAGCGTGCGAAAGAAATAATGTTTTAATTTTTATAAAAATGATATATAAATATATATATTCACTAATAACTTATCAAATAATTGATAAAATCTTGCTTTTAGTAAGAAATTAGCGATGTAAAGAATCAGTACTTTAATGTTTAGTCAGACTTTGATTGAAAAGATTTTGAAAATACATTGAAATATGCAACCATTCGTCCAATAATACTTGCATGATTTACAATTAGATTTCAATATATTGTAAGTAATAACCGTACCAGGTCTCAGCACGTAGAGATTGCAACATTTAGAGATCCGCGGGCTAATGGTACTATTCAAAAAATTTTCGATATTGGGATAACATGCCATTTGTCGAAAATTCAAATTTTAATTCTAACTGGACGAGGATAAATAATTATTTAAATATTAGTTTGGTACACTTTGAGCATGTTTCAAATTGTTTAAGTAATTCAAAAATTTAATCGAAAGTATAAATAATCGAAAGTAAAAAATATCAGAATATTGTGATTGGTGCGATTTGATTTACCAGCGCTAATACAGTTTAAAATTTATTACAAATTATCAATAAATTATATATATCTATATGTTTTAATTGTTTTAATTTAGATATATGTACATACAAATCTGGATTTTTTCAATCAAAAAAGTTATATATATATATATGATTATTAAAAAATGTTCGAAAATTTTATAATCTATTGGCAATATTGAATCCTTTTCTATTATATGATAACTTCAATATGTCCGTACACGTGGTATTGCGTTTGGATAGGTTATGATACCTAAAGATGAGTGTTTGTGTCCAAAATTGTTTTAAGGTGCTATTATAAAAAATAGATAGTATATAAGAAAAACTAAAAATAATGTCACCAGTGAATATTGAGATAATGAGTGCTACAGAAATAATGAGTGCCAGTGATGGACGAAAGAAACGAAAAAGGAATAGATCTTCTATTATAAATGGTGTAGAAAATGAACGAGTAAATGGTGTTGATGAAACAAATTCAAAGGATACTATCATTCAGAATGAAAACTCTATTGAACGACCTAAAAAGAAAAGACGTAAACTTTCAAAAATACATACGAATGATATAACTGAGAAGAACGATAAAACTTCTATTGAAATTAAAGAAAACGAGAATGAAATTTCTGATGAAAAAGTTGTTAAAGTTAAGACAAAAGGACTATCTGGAAAATATTTTAGGAAAGCTTTTACTTCTCCCAATGGTTTTGATGAATTAAAAACATTTGTAACTATATGTACAGAAAATAAAAAAAAAGACTTGGCTTCTGAATATTTACTTGCTGGTGGAAATATTCTTGAAGTATTGCGATTGTTAGATAACTCTGATAACAAGAATATCAGCAAAGCTGCTACAGTGTTCACAGCAATAAATATTTTAATTATGAAGATTCTGGCAAATTTTCCTCAGAATCTACCAAGCGCAGAAGAGGCATGTCGTCATTTAATTAATTCACATTTGTCTTCTGTATATTCGATGCTGTCTACTCAAAGTAATGCTAAACAGCATAAAGTAGTTTTGAAATTGCTTACAGCAATTGTATCCTTAGGTGGAACTCTTCCTAGAGAACTGGTAGCTCATTTATCTTTTCAACCTAAAGTCATAGAATCTCTTTTACACCATGCAAAACCATCAGATCCAGAAAATGTAAGAACATGTTACATTCACTTCATTCTTGCATTTTTAATAGAAGGAAATATTACAGTTATTAAATCGTTATTAGATAAACGAGATGTACTTACTAGCATTTTTCCTGGATTGATTTATGATAAACCAGAAATTATCAATTTAGTATTGGCTAGTATAAAAAAATATATTTTAGAAAACCCCGGTATTAGTAAAACATTAAAATTGTATGTTTTTTGTACACCTATCGTTCAAAGTTTGGTTTCCCTTTATAATTGGAAAGGACCAAATAACTGGTCTAAGGGAAAACGTAATAAAACTGTTACAAAAGATGTCCCTGCAGAAGAAAAAGAGCTTGTTACTAATATAGTACATAATTTTCTAATCACTTTGCTCACATCTCATCGACATGGTATAATTTTTCATGATCGAACCATTGGTACTTCACGTGACAAACATAATAATCAATTGATAAATACTGTTCTTCAGAGCTTAGATCGCCATTGGGAACATATAAAACCATCAGATTTAGTTGTAAAGATAATGGCTGCTTGTCCAAGTTTAATACGATCACAATTAAGCTATTTAGAATCTTATCTAGAACCTAGAGTATCTAAAAAGTGGATTTCTGTTATGACATTTGTTAAACAGATAATTGAAACAGTAAATATGGACATGTGTTTGAAAACATATTCCCCTGAATTAAATATATCTCAATTGACCAATGCCATAGGATCATTATGTGTGCCGTCATTATTAATAAAAGCTGCAATTATACCATCTTTAAATCATTCTAGTATTATTGTACGGCATGAAGCTATGGAATTACTTTTAAGTATGATAAATCAGATGAAGAAGTATTTATTAGCTACAAAATCGTATAATATGAATATATTTGAAGTAAAAAATAGTGTGATGGATTACATCATAAAGACTGTACCTAATTTAAACACAATATTAAAAGTATGGACTGATGCTTTTACTACAACTACAGATGTAAATAATTTACAAGAAGATAATTGTTTATCTGAGCCATCTAAACAAAACCATTTTTCTACAATTTTAAATGTACTTCATACATATAATGATGTATGTCCAGAACTTTTGGATATAACATTGGATATACAACCCAATTTATTGTTTTCTGGATTAAATAATTTATATGATGTGGATAATGATGAATTAATTATTTTAAGGATTAAGGCAATACAGTTTTTGCTTGCTTTAGATTCATCTGAATTTGCACCATCTAAAACGACATTTGTAGAAACATTTTTATTTCTAAGTCTTCTTCTAAATGAAAATTCATCTATGATTTCTTCATATGCAAAAGCAACTATCAAAACGTTATTAAATGTAACAGGAATATTTGAAGGATGTCATGAACAAATGGACATATGGATTAATGGTTTATGCTATGTACATAATTCTGTGGACAAAGCAGAGGTAGTAAATTGGCTTATTAAGCTCATTAAAACTACTAATAAACATATGGATAAGTATGTAAATATGATAATAACGGCAGAAGAAGCTGCTAATTCCGATGAGGTAATAAATGCTAATACATTGAAAAATATATTTTACGAACTTTATACTATCGAAGATAAAAAAGAAAAGGACAAAAATATTAAAAAGTTCTATATGCAATCAGCTACATCTATTTCACCTATTTTATGTTGTGCAATTCATAAATTAAAAATGGCTTCTACTTCTGTCTTATTACAATATGTTTCTTATATATTAGTACATACAATACATTATCAAGTTAATCCAGAACCTTTAATATATTTGATTACGGATATTCAAGATTTACAAGCAGAAAAATATTTACTTAGTTGGTGTACCAATAGTAATCCTATAAGTATACCAAAAATATTTTCATCTATGAATATTATGCACAAATTAAGTAAAGCATTAATGAAAAATTCTACAATAGAATTGAACAAACTGTTCACCGGAGATATTAAATTAATTTTTAAATATGAAAATGAAGAAGTAACAATAAATCATTCCTTATCGACATATGAAATTATAGTACTGCAAAAAATGATTACATTTTATTTCACACATGATATTCGTAAAAATGATTTAAATGAAGTTAAATTTAATAATTATAAAAGAGTCATAATATGTTTATTAAATATAGCAAATACCATTATGATTGAAGATAATACTACATTTGTACAAAATTTTGTAAAAACAATTTTTAGTCATCCGGTAATTTTACAATATTTTTCTTTCTATCGTGATGAGAGCGCTATTGGAAGTACAATAATAAATTTAATTGTTGATATTTGTCAAATAGTAATTGATGAATATAAGTTGTCTATAATTGATTTACTTACACCATATAAAAACAAGGCTATAATACAAATTGAAAAAGTAGTACATGACAGTCATGTTCAATATATTTCCTCATATAAAAACATTATTATGTTACTGGAACAATTGCAACTTACTGCAGAAGATATTGTAGATTTGCTTACTACATTGTCAAAAGTGGAAAAAAATATGTTTATATTAAAAAACACATCTAGTTTATCAATATGTGGATACATTTTTCCAAAATTATTGCAACTTCTATGCAATGAAAAAATCAGATCTGTTCATTCTGAAGTATCAAAATTAGATACACACTTTGTTAAGAAAGCATTTTCATATTTGATCTTTTTGAAACAACATCATATATCAGATATTAATCTATGGGAAACAGCTTTACGAGAATATCTATATTATTTCCCTCATAATATTGCTGCTATTGATACAAGTAAGTTATATTTATGAAAATATATTTTTATTACAAATATAAATACATTTAAAAGAAATTTTTCTTTCCAGATGTATTTAAATCAATCTTGAAAAAAAACATTGAAGATACAAATGCACGATTGATCTCATTTTTACTCAGCAGAAATGTAACATTTTTACCTTCATTTATACAATATGCACTTAAATATGAAAATATGAAAGAAAATACATACTTATTATCTATAATAGAAAATAATTTGAAATATGAATGGAAAGAAGGTTTAATAAAAAAATTAAATGATTTTTATAAGGATGAAATATTACATTATATATCACATCCCGCAGAATCTAAAAAGTGGATAGAAGAAAATACAAATGTTATTTGTTATATAATTGACAATTCATTTGGTAAGTATGTTTGATTGCATATATTTTAATTATATAATTATATGTTATATTTATATGTTATGTATTTGTTAGATTTAGAAACATGTAAAAATATATGCTACACTGTCCTACAAATTGGTGATCAATTAAACATGGTTCATACATGTTATATACACCTACTGAAGAGTTTATATTACAAATATGCACTTTTAGAGGAAAATGATATTCAAGTAATAATGAATTTTGTTCAAATACTTTTTCACATAATTACATTAACATTAAAAAAGGAATGTAAAAATATAGAGAAACTAACACTTTTATGTGAAAAACTGAATAGTACAATCAATCATTTAAAAGAAAAAAAGAATGATTTTATATTTGAAGATTTATGTAAAAATCATTCTTGGCCTCAATTTATCCGTTTTTCGCTGAAGTTAGGATTCTCATTAACGAAGGATAACAAAACATATCTACCAATATTAAAAACTCTATGCACATTATGTGATGTGATATGTAAAGATGACAGCAATAACGATTATGCTAAGACGATATTTGAAATGGTTACTTCTCATTCCGAATTTGTTAATACCATGTTAAAATCTTCTATAATAAAAAGTAAATATAATTCTTTTCAATTCTTTTTCTAAAAATTTGTATGTGTGTGTGTATGTGTGTGCGCGCGCGTATAAAACATTATTTTTCATATTGTATTATAAACTTTTAGAAGATGTAATACAGTTGCTATGGATTCTCATTCAGAAAAACAAGTCTGTAATGATATCATCACATATACCACTTTATTTAGCAGCTTATGGTGCTACCCTCTCTGAAACAGATCAACTTATTTTGCTTGTAAGAAATTAATTTTTTTTGTTATTACTAAACATTATACTAACAGATGTATATAAGTTTTTATTTGTAGTAAACAAAATAGATTTTTTTAGATACTACAATATTATGAACGTAATAATATTAAAATTAACGAATACCGTCCATATTTGTGGGGCAATGCAGCAGCAATACATTATAGTGTCAAAGGTGATGTAAGTACTGCACTTTGGAGGCAACCTTCTACTTTTGAAGTATTAGCATTATTTGAGAAAGAAATGGTCGAAAATACTGTGAAATATTATCCAATAAATAGATCATTACAGGTACGTTTTTTATGTTGAAATTATCGATATAAAATATGTGAACATTATAAAATCACATATCGGATAACTATATTGATATATAATCTTACATACAGAGTAGTGAACTGTATAATGCAGGTGATATTTATGATCCAGCATTCTACTTACCTTTATTGTGTTACTTACTATCGGATAATAATATCGTACCATGCTATAAAATAACACAGAGCGGAGCTTTGGCTCTTATCTTAATGGCATGTAGTAGCAATCATAGCGAAGTTCGTATGGCGGCATATACTGTTATTTCAAGATATTATTTTCATCTTGAATCATCAAGGTATATTATTCCAAATATATATATATATATATATTGATTAATGATTATTTTAAATATTTTATATTGATATAATTTTATTTTTATATTTATTGCAGTTTCAAAGAAAAAGTTCTTTGGATGCGTCTTATCGATTCCTTACGTAACGGAATATTATCAACAGAAATTAATTTGCAAGATATGCATATAACTTGTTTAGTATCTACATTTTTAGCCAGAACATCTATAATAGCTACTCAGCCATTAAATCCCCTTTATTTGCCACTTCATAATTTTCTTATGGCCAAGCCAGCATTAAACTTAAACACAATACCGGAATTATTACAATTATTTCATAGTTCTGATGTTCATCATAAGGAACACCGACATTGGATTTTAGAAACTATTCGTGATGGTATCAAAACGGAAAGGGATGTAGAGATTGCATGTAAATGCATGCTATACAAGATGCTATTAGATTTTTTTACTTGCTTGTTATCAGATATAAAAACAAAGGTAAACAAAAAAAATATTTCCAACGGATGAAAAATAATTATATAAATTTCGTAATGTTTATGATTCATAACATGCAATCCTTATTTCAGAAACTCATATTAGAAGTAATCGAATCGAGCACGAAAATTCCTAAATCATGTCGTTTACTTATACGAGAATACGGATTACTTTCTTGGTTGACAGAAACCGTAATACGATTGGAAAATTGTGATCCTCAATATCTAACTCTTTTAATTAACATTGTCTCTAATATTTTAAAAGCCCTATTATGGGTCAAGCAAGAATATGATTCTTACAAAGTTTTGTTATTAAAGATTCTCTTATCTTTGAAAACACGTTTCACTATAGGGATAAGTATATTCTCATTCGAGCAATATATTATTCTTTTACAAAAATTACTTGTATCAAAGGATTTAAATAATATTGTAAGTAAAGAGGATATGAAAGATATCGTGAATTTTTCTAAAAATCTTATTGGGAAAATAGACGAATACGAAAATATGCTAGATCATGGTTGTGAATACGTTAATAAGACAGAAACTTCAAATATGGCGAATGAATTAGAAGCAACGCGAACAAGTATGCGATCGTTGGTTTGGACATGGTGTAAATACAGAGTGAGATGACATCAACAATAAACTAATTTTTATTGTAAATCTTTTTTACTTATCGTATCATCGTACTCTATCCTCATTTTCAGATCGTATCCTTTATTCCCTTGGTAAACAATTTTAAAATAAATATAAAACATTGAACGCATAATGGAATAACGATTATTATTCGGATTAGTATTTATTTTTCTCAGGAAATTTTGATCAGTATAGTTTTGGATAAAATGTATGCACGAAAACGGGCGCGTTCGGATCATTATATTTGTCCTCATGATGACGTATGACGAGAACCAATTGGCGTATATATTTTTCAGACGTGGCAGGATAACCATCCACAAATTCTATCCCTTTATTAAATTCCTCTGTCGAAGTACCCAAGTCATCTAGATTTAAGTAAACCTGTTCGGAGAACGAACCTTTGTTCAACTTTTCCATAGCTATTTGAGCTTTAGGACTAGATAATGCAACATGTGCTGCCTTGTCTTGATCATCTCTATTCAGAAAAGCGCTTTTCCAACCATTTTTGGAATAACTTTCTACGCTATCGAGCCTCCCAGAAGCGTAGGGGGCTGAAGCATGTCCCCTGGGATGTCCCTTTGTAAAACTCCCATGACAATTCTTATTTTGTGAATCATCTAAGATCTTCGATGCATCCGCGGCCGATATACCGATATATCGAGCGCCACCAATCAATAAAACTATTCTATTATTTTCTTCTAACCATTGAATCTCTTTTATATAATTTGCTAACAATTTTACATTTCTTTTTAATTGTTGTATTGTTTTTTGCCTTAATTTGGTAGCATTTATACCGGTTTGTTCGGCGATTACAGAAAAAAGACAATTATTTAAATCAATATGAACATCTTTCGGTTGACCTCTACCTCGAAAGGTCCAATGTCCTATATTGTCTTTATCTCTTAAATGGAATTCTATGTCTATCGGAATTCCATCATTTTCTTTACCAACTGTTCGTTGTAATTCATGTTGCGAATTCCAAATTCTTATCACCGCACCTGTTACATAAGCTAATGCAACAAGATGGACCAGACCAGCTGGTCCATAATTTTCCAAATCTCTGATTAATCTCCACGCTTCATGAAGGTTTTCAAATTTTTCGATCGGCGAGATTGCGTTCGATCTTGAACGCAATCCTCGCAGCCTACGATCCCGATTTCTCTGGGCATCTTCTATTTGATTATCCATTTTTATACCAATTGATTTAATCTAAAGACTTTGATTCTAATTTTTGGAGAATTTTCTTTTTTGATTTGTTTTCATTTTCCTTTTTGCGATATGTTGATGCCATTTTTTCTAATGATAATATTTATGTTATTCAAATAAATCATGTCGCGTAATTATCGGTAATTTAATAAAATAATATATGTTTATAAAAAAGAATTCATCTGAGAGAAGGTTTCGTAGAAGAAATATTTACAGAAAAAATGTAATTATGATAATTACAATATCTATATTTTTTCATATATATAAATTTTGCCTCCATTTTTCACCGATAATTTGGAATCAATTTTTGTTTACATGATCGTTCAAATACTTGAATATATTTCTTTTTTAACCTCATAATTTAGAACATTGTACGCCAAAGGAAAATAAAATTTTTATGTGCAATTGTTTAGTGAGACATTCATTTCATATTTTTCGATATATTTATCGAAATGTTGGTAGATCAAGAAAAAAGAAATTCGAGTATAATTATTTTTTTCTTTTCCTCAAAATTATAATCATAAAAAATTATATCAAGTTCGAAAGAAGGTCAGGTAGGTTCGAAGATGAAGTTCTTGATAATTTCTCGACGTTTTATCATCGTAAATCCTAAATATTAAAGGATCGAACGAACAAAAGAAATCGCCATTTTTCTTGTTAAACGACAAAAGAAAGAGGGAATGGCAAGGGCTGCCAGAAGGAAGAGGAAACGATCGTTGTCAGTTGAAAGAGGTGGGGAAAAGGAAAGATAGAAGGGGTGAGAAGCAGGTGAAGTGGGGATCTAACAGATCCCCTCGCTCGATTCGTGGGTTTCACCGGTCTCTTCGACGATCCATGGATCAGTCTCGATGCAACCGTCCTTTGGGTTTGGTTGCAGTCGTCTGTTTTTTTTTATATGTCCTTCTTACTTCGAATATGGCTACTTTATTTTTCGAGTTGGGTTTAATTTTTTTCATGACAATTCCAAAACGTTTTCACGGTGTTATTATCGAACAAGTGACGAAAAGCCTAACGAAGGAATTATTAGTATAGTGTAAATGTTAACGAATTTTTCGTGTCTAATTGTAAGATGCATTATACAAGCCTTTTCATTAATGTGTACAAAGTGAAATCCATTTTTACTGCGTTAAAATCGTCGAAAGATTTTCAGTGATACCTTACGATAGATTTTCAGGGTGTACTCTCTCAGTGTCATTCATTATTTTTATTTCTTTTTTTTTCATTTTTTTTTCCTTCTTTTTCCTTTTTCTTTTTTTTATTTTTTATTTCTTCGACGATCATCAGTGATAAAAAATAATTAGGAATTATATCGAAGAAATAGAGAAAGACGTGCGACCATGCGATCGTTCGAGTATCGAAGTCAGTAGCATGAATGTTTTGTATGCCATCCGCACGGAGAGCTCGATGCGTGGATAAGAAACTACTTTTTTTTATTCCGACGAACAAAAATCAAATTGTTCGACTCGCGGAGAAAAAGAAAATTTGATTTCAATTATCTCGTACGTAGAAAAAATCAGATTTATTTAAAAAAAAATATATATGATCGTACGGGGCACAATTGCAACGAGACAGTTCGATATCTAGATAGTAGAACATCTTTTCTCGCCGCTGATATATCAAGTAGAAAGAAAAAATTTTATTACGAAATAAAAAGAAACGGCGATTAAAATTACCGCCGTTTCGGAACGTATATTTTCTTTTTTTTTCCCCTATTAGGCAGGTGGCGCTGATCATTGGCCCGGTTCAAAAACGCGCCAATCGACCTTTTTTTTTTGCGACGTTAATAAACGATTCCTTCGAAGCGCGGTTTCGAAAACCCGCTTATTATCGAGAATACCATCGACGGTATATGAGAACACGATTAAAAATTTCGATCGACGAATTTCGAGTGGATATCTTTCGTACATTTCGCGAACGATGTAACCTGATTAATAGTGATATAGTTGAGATTTTTTGTTGATTGGAATTCGTCGTGATAAAGTGTACGTACTTGCGTGCGTATTTAGTGTGTGGTGTGTGTGTGTGTATTTGTGTACGCGTGTGTAGTTGTGCGGTACGTGTACGTTCGTGTCTTCTTTCATTATATTTCATTTCATCATTTATCATCGTTCTTTTCTATGATGGATACAAGCTGAACGAATATTCATTTATCCGTTGGATTCTTCTTTCGGAAAGGACTACTTTCGACGGGCATGTATGGCTGGTAAATATCTTATATTAATATATTATATATAAATTTTCGAAGGGGTAATGTAACAAATTCAAATCGTCAGTTCGATTCTAATCGTTCATTTTATTTTATTTTATTTTAAAGTTAACCTCAAAATTATTATAAAAAAAAAAAAAAACCAAGTATGCAAAAATAGATACATATAACCATCACCTATGCTTTCTTTTTTTTTACGTACACACACACACACACACATATATATATACATATATATATATATATATATATATATATATATACAATTTTATTTATGAAAATTGTTCGTATTGTCGAACGATCACTTTCGATTCTCAAAATGTCGTCGACTTTTCGAAAAAGATGAAGTTTAATGATCGCTAAAAGTACCGATAAGGAAACGAGAAGAAAAAGCAAAATATGTGTATACCACCTACAAACATTAGTCTCGATATTCTTGTACGTGTTGCATTCGCTCATGCATTGTATTCTCATTGCTGCTGCTGATGCTGTTGTTGCTGTTAACATATGGTATATATATATATATATTTATATACATATATCGGGTGTCTCATTTTAAACGATATGGTTAAATATCACCGATCTTATTAATTTTATAAAAAAATATTTCATGTAAAAACTGCTATATTTTGAGAGGAAAGTGTAATATTTATTACAAATATTTCATAGAAGGGGCTTGTTTTCAAGATATTGATGTCATAACAAATTTTTGTTAATGGTAATCAACATTTTAAATAGAATTGAAGTTGTAAAGAATATCGATATGAATCCAAAGAACACAAATAATATGCCTTTTTATCAATATTTCATCGAAGTATCTATAGTATAGTATAGTAGGTAAATATAAACGATAGTATAGTACATGGTTACGACACGGATACAACATGGATACGATACAATACAATATAGTATATATCTAATATTGTATATATTATATTATTATATTATTATATTATATATTATAATAGGGATATTAGTAATATTAGAGAGAGAGCCATGATTCGATGAAATATCAATGAAATTACTGTAATAAATATTACATATTACTTCCTTATAACCTAGTAATTTTTATTTGATAACATTTATTTATAAAACCAATAGAACGAATATATTTGGTCATATCGTTTAAAATGAGTCACTCGATATATATGTGAATATATATATATATATATATATATATATATATATATATATATATATTTTCTATATAAGTCTGTTTCAGCACAGAATGCGTATGCGTATTCGAGGATCGTACGTTTGAGAGCGTTTCTGTTTCCTCTCACGCACGAATGCGCGTTCAGGCACGTAGCTATTCAATACGCATCCGCCTTTGCAGTCGTGGCACTGGTAATAATGCGTCGGCCATTGGTCACGCGACGATGCCACTACGCGTTTCAAGTTCTTTGAGATTTTTTGAAAGATTTTTAATCCACCGAATGTTTTAATCTACTTTTCTGAAATTCCATATTTCTTTTTATTTTACGAATGCGATCAATGCAACGATTATTTATGCAAAATCAAATCGAATTGGAGACGTTAACAATGTGTTTACAAACGTATAATGTTGATTATGATTTTTAAAAAGTGCGCTCTCTTTTTGACGATTTATTTGAATTTGTTTTACGAAATAACAAAAGAAATGGATTATCTTAAGTTTTTTATAACAATTGTGATGGTTAATCTAATAAATTCGAACAAATAGAATAAATGTATATAGTTGATTAAAAATCTTCAGAAAGTGCGCCTTCATTTTGGCGGTTTATTTGAATTTGTTTTACGAAACAACGAAAGAAATCAATCAGCTTTAGTTTCTATAATAATTGATGACAATTAATTTAATAAATCTTAACAAATAATACGAATCTATGTTCGTTCGTTATATGAAAGAACAAAAAAAAAAAAGAAATGCACTTTTTCTCGATGGTTTATTTGATTTTGTTTTACGAAACGACGGAAGAAATGGATCACCTAAAGTTTCTATGATAATTCCAGTAGTTAATCTAATGAACCTGAACAAATAGAGCAAAGTATTAAGAAGAAGGTAGGAAAAGAGATTAGGTGCTTCGATCTTCTCGTAGATCAGTAAAATCCTTAGGCAATTTCAGGATGGCGTGCCAAAGTAAATCGAGAAAGATTCCCGTCCTCTCTCGGTCTATATCTCGAACACCGCAATAGAGCGTGACGCTTGCGATTCCAACAGTCAGATATATTATCGTACGATCGTTATCGAGCTGCGTTATAAGCCGTACTATAAACGTATAACTTTGCCACGATATATTCAACGAGTTTAGCGCATACCTAAATATCATATATAGCTTGTGAACATATTTTCAGACTAATTAGAATCCGTTAGAATGAAAACTTAACGGTAATTAATATTTTCCAAAATATACGAAATCATATATATATCTTTATTTATTAAATCAGTATACTTACCGTTAATTACTTTTAATACTAACCGTATTAAAAATACTGATCAAATAAATTTAAAGTGATCGTGTATATTATTATTCTATTAAAAAATAAAAGTAATATTGATGTCAATGATAATCGATCGATCAATTTTAGATAAAATTAATATTTTTATAATTGCACCTTACTATAAATATCTTCTTTTCCTCGTAATATATAAATCGAATCGTAATATACAAAACCATATCTCAATATATTGTTATTATGTTATTATCTTTTATAATAAAATAATATCTAGTAATAATGGTAGATTAAACATTTAAACAAAAAAAAAACAAAAAAATAAAAAAATAAAAAAAAAAAT